CAACCCAACTAATGATAAGTTAATTGCGCTTGCTTGTATGAAATGTGATTAGAAATTTTTCGCTGAAGTTGGGAATCACAGATTGAAACAAAGAATATAAAGTACTGTAATGCTAAAAATCTTAAACATCTTCCCATGATTGCAAACATTTGTCTCTCTTAACAGCAGCAAAATTGATAAACAAAAATCAATACATTTCTTTATTGTAAAACCACATATTTTACAACATATTTCACAAGTTACATAACTTTAAAATAGATTAATTGAACTCATTGGCAAAATTTGAAATGATGTAACATTACATGTTAGACTAATGAGTATCTATGATTTAAAACTTTTGGTCCGTGTTTCTGATCAAATTTTGCCTTTATTGTGTTGGTAAAATGTTGTCTTGCTTGTTGAAATATTAATGTACTGATCAAGATAGCCTGGTGATATAGCATCTTGGGTTTCTAAGCTTTCACTATAGCCTTGAAGCAGATATTCCTTGTTCAAGGTCACCTAAATTTTATCACTACAGCCACAGGCTTGTCCTAATGACACTAATGTGTTACTTTTAATAGGCTATGTTACAAATTTTTAAACAAATCAGATAATGTTGAGTTAAAAATTATTAATTAACACAGATACAGTCGCACATTACTACATTAGGGAACAATATTGAGCTATCTTAATTAAATTAGTTCCCTACCAACTTCTAATGCATTTAAGGTTCTTGCTTGAATAGTTTCGCTAGTTGGAAAAGAAATACCATATTATTATCCTTCTGGTCGATTTTATAGTTGGACAGAGTGGAATTGATATGGGACATTTTATTAAAAAATTGTAATTGTATCTTAGTTCTTAATGGTATTGTTTTTATAATAGCAGAGTATAGAATTAAATCGAGGATTAATATACAGTCCTCTAAAAGTAGTGTGAAGATGAATAGGCCAATGCTGTAATATATTTTTATACTCTAGCAAAGCATTGGTGTTGGAGTGATTGATTTTACTTTATGCTTTCTATGATGAGTAAAACATCTGAATCGTGATGATCAACACCCTAATTAATCCTCTAAGAAGATCTGAGAATGCATAAAGTAAAACAACAAAAGCGAAGTGATTACTGGTTAATTGTTCGGTATTATTATTGAAATTTTAATGGCCTTGAAACTGACGACTGCTTTAACAATCGACCCATCCCTAACCTTACTAACATAGATACAGCTAAGTTGAATTGAGGTATAATTTAAGGCTATCTCCTCTTGCCAACTTCTTGCGCATTCAAGGTCACGGGTGGCAAAAATGACTACACAACGGCGGGAGGTGGACTGAACATTTTTCCACAATCACTGCTTCTGCCAGTTCTAAGTTTTAGGTTTTGGTTTTTAATATTATTTCTGGAATTGATTAGGATGATTAGCAATAAGTATCTAATGTGAGGTTGAATTTTTTTATATTATAAAGTTACTTGCTAGCATACCTGAGGAGGTGTCCAGGGACTTAGAAATAAAAAGGTTGCACAGCATAACGCAGATTCTCGTCCTGTTGTCTGACTTCTCCAGATAGTTGATTTATTGATGAGAAATGCCAAGTTCTTGTTCACAAAAAATATTTAAAAAACCTTAAACCACCCCATGGCTTCTTCCTAAAATATAACCTGGGCTGGGAATAATCAGTAAAAACACTTTCTATGATGACACAATTTTCTGAACTCTGATGATCAACACACCCTCAATAACCCTCTAAGAAGATCTGAGAAAGTGTATTTTTAGGATGAAGTTAATCAAATAGTATTGTAAATGAAAATTATAGTATTTTTCAATAAAACCCCGACTTCAGCTGGTCCATTTAGATGAATAGTCATTGAATAGTCATTTATTCAGTCTTTAAACAATACATTATTGTAATTGACATCGTCATTATTATTGTAAAAGATATAAGATACGATACTTATAATTATTAAAATTTGACATGAAAATTCCAAAATATAGGCTGCCCTTATTGAACATTTAACAGGTTTAAAATAATTTTTAAAAAATAGGCAAACTTAACAAACTTAAATTATGAATTATAGTGGGTCTTTCTTAAAAAGGCTAATGGTTATCACAGGTGTACAATGAACATAGAGGGACAAAATTACTAACATTATCACAGATGGAATATGGTAAAAAAAACATATCAAAATAGTGAACATGAAATATATGAAAATTAATTACAGTAATAAAATCCTAGCCTAACTTAAAACAAAATTTCTAACATTATCACAGATGGAATATGGTAAAAAACATATCAAAATAGTGAACATGAAAAATATGAAAATTAATTACAGTAATAAAAATCCTAGCCTAACTTAAAAGCATTTAACATTAGCAAAAAATGAGATCACATTCAAAAAATTCCTCAATTTTGTAAAATGGGTGAGATGAAAGCCACATAGTTAATTTTCTTTTAAAGACACTTAACGGCAAGGACTTGACTTGGGGATGAAGCTTATTAAATAATTTAATACCTAAAACAAAATGACTGTTTGCAGTTTTCTGTAGCCTACAGTGAGGTACATCAACTAGACCCCTATTCCTTGTGTTATAACCATGAATGTCTTGGCGCAAATCATACTCGTTTTCCTTTTTCTTAACATTAATCAGACAATGCAGGATAAAAACATTAATGACAGTTAAAATGCCAGTGCCCACAAATAACGGTTTACAATGTGCTCTTCAGCGAGATCTAGTTATGATTCTCACAGCCTTCTTTTGAATTAACAATACATTATTTACATGGGTACTATTTCCCCATAACAAAATACCATAACTTAAAATTGAGTGAAAAAAAGCATAATACACAGACTTTAAATAATTCTGAGGCAGACTAGAGCTAAGACATTTAAGAAGATAAATACACCTAGACAACTTACCACTAATGAAATCAATGTGTTGAGACCAGGTCAAACAGTTGTCAATCACTAAACCTAAAATTTTTATTTCATTTGGTTCATTGTAATCCTCGACTCTATTTCTAGTCTGACAGAGTAAGTGTTGAGTTTTATTCTCATTAATAATCAAACCATTAGCACTAAACCATTGCTTGGCTTCTAAAATAGTATTTTTGGCAATATTAGACAAGACATTTGTATCATTGCTTATACTAAGAAAGGTTGTGTCGTCTGCAAACATTGTAGTTGAAGAAAGGGACACATTGGCAGGTAGGTCATTAATTGATAAAAGGAATAATAAAGGCCCCAAGATAGAACCCTGTGGTACTCCCATTATTACATCCAGACATCTTGAACGATCACCCTTCAACTCTACAAACTGAGATCTTCCATGCAAGTATGATTCAAAAAACTTCAAACATGAACCCCTAATGCCGTAAAAACTTAATTTATCTAATAACACAGAGTGATCTACAAGATCAAATGCCTTGCTCAGATCACAAGCAGTAATCTGAGCAAAGCTCCCGTCTTCAAAAGCTTTAATAATTTTGAACAACATCGACTCAATTGCATCTATTGTGGATAACTTTTTACGAAAACCAAATTGAGTCTCGCTAAGAATATTATTACTTGCTAGGAAGAAACACATTTGGTTATAGATAATACGCTCCATAATTTTACCAAACAAAGGAACTAATGATACAGGCCTATAATTACTAACCTCAGATTTCTTGCCTTTTTTGAACACTGGAACTACCCGTGAAATCTTTTGGGATTCAGGAAAAACTCCATCATTTAGGCAAACATTTACACAGTGAGTGAGTGGTACTACGATTGCACTTATCACAGACTTTAACACCGCGTTTGACACACCATAAGCATCTTTGCTTTTTGACATTTTCAGCTTTGACACCACACTTAACACTTCATCCTGAGAGACAGGCAACCACTGGTTCAACGAGGCTTGCTGATGGTACTCCGTGTTATGAAGTAGGTCGCTAGAAGAGACAGGAGGTGGGATGATGGATGCCTTCGCTGACTGCACTGACTCCAAGAAGAAGTTGTTATGCTGCTCTGCCGAGATCATAGAGTGCACCCTTTCCGCAGTCGAGGTTGTAGACTTACGAATCAGAGACCAGGCAGCCTGACACTTATTACTGGATGATTCAATAAAGTTCATGTTAGCAGACATCTTTGCTTCATTCACTGCATTTTTATAAAGGTTTCGTAGAGCTTTGTAGGCTTTAAAAGATAGTTCAGATTTAGTTGTTCTATGTACTGTAAGATAGGCCATAACTCTTTCTCTCATTATCTTTAATTCAGGAGTATACCACTTAAGAACTACTTTTCTCTGATTTTTTGAGTTAAAGGATTTTTTGCGAAGTGTCTTTAAAGGGCAACTTACATTATAAATTTCCATAAAACTATCAAAAAACAATTTAAATGTCCGTTCAGCAGACCCATTACCTTTTGAGAGCACTGGACACCAATCAATATCACATAAATGTGAATTTAAACTGTTCAAACTTGCTGCCGATGTATCTCTGAAGGTAACTGACTCAGTAGGCTTCCTCAGGTTTGAATCGACAAAGTCTTCCACTCTAACCAACACTTCGAGTCCTTCATGGTCAGCTATGTGCGGGTGAACAACGCAACAGTCAAAGTCCATGCAGTTAGTGAACGCATTATCAAGACATGCCTTACCCCGTGTAGGCTGATTGTTTGTGTAACAACAATTAAATTGCTTAAGCAGGTTCTTTAGTTCTTTGACAGATGGAAGTTTTGCATTTACATCAAATTTGGCGTTTACATCGCCACCAAGAATAATTGAACACTTGTGATTAGAGAAATAAATTAATAAATTTTCAAGTCTTTCCAAAAATATATTTATATCACCAGTAGGAGAGCGATAAAGACTGCCTACAATGGATGGAATGTCTACTCCATCTAAAAGTCAATGATATCCATCTGATAGTTCTGGGAATTTTCCTTAAATTCTTTATAGGTCCAATACATACAGATTGCTGGGTTGATTATTCTGAGTTAGTTGACGTTGATAATCTACATCCCTGTGTTTCTTGCAGCTACTTGTACCAGATAGCACATTTGGGAGATGACGACGATGAGCCGGAGTTCAGTTCGGCCATGCCTCTAGAGGAGGGAGACACTTTCTTCTTTGCCCCCCGACCTCTCCGCAACCTGGTGTTGGTAGATGAGATGGACTCTCTGTCGCCCATCTTGGCGTGTCAAGTGGCAGATCTGGGTGAGTCTGTCGTTCACACATTGAAATACAGTTGAACATCAATTAATTGAACTAACGGAGGGGCAGATGCAGATATCCTTTTTTTTGGTTACTCGGTGGTTGGAATTTAAAGGCTATTTTGGTTTAAAGAGATCTACAATATTATTTTAATTACTGTCATCGTAAAATCTATAACCGCAATAATCAATTGTTTTCTGACCTTATGAACACAGTGATTGCCAACTATGAAAAAACAACCAGACAAATACCTACTATTTTAAGGATAAAATACAAAGGGTTTCAAAAGCAGTTAAGATTAACAGGTCAATGCTGTATCCATTTTATGCCTTCCAGCTAAGCATTGCTTTATTCTGGATTTACTTTATGCTTTCGATGATGAGTAAAACATCTGAATCGTGATGATCAACACCCTAATTAATCCTCTAAGAAGATCTGAGAAGGCATAAAGTAAAACCAGAATAATTTGAAGCTATGATTGTTGGTTAGTTGTGATTTCAGTTTTTTTTTAATTTATTGCAAATGAGTTTTGTTAAGTTTTTACTGATAAAGTAGATTAAATAAATATATCTAATAATTTACTGAATTGTGAGCTTGCTCATTTACTGTTACTCATTAAACACAGAATGAGCCTGAAGAACATTTTTATTTAAACCCTTTTATAAAATATGTAAATTAATTTTTATAAGTGTGGTTACAAGTGATGAGATTCTTATAACTAACTTCCCAGAATATAATGACGGTAGAAACCGAGCTTTTTAACACTGATGTATCCCTAATTAGTGGCCATTGTGTAAAGTAAACTTTGTACTCAAATCATACAGCCACTATTGCTGAGTTACAAAATATCAAATGAATTAAGATAAATGTTGTGTTTTGTTAAAAGAAATATTGATTACAATATTTCAGATGGGAGAATACCACAACTGGCTGTGTACAAACACAGTCTTGATTAGTTTCTTTTTAAAACTATTTTGTAAAAAAATACCAACAACTAACTAGTAAAAAATCTAAAAGCCTATAAAAGAGAAAAATTAGCAAAGTGTTTACTTGAGTAACCAGTGAGAACAAATGGATGATAATGATGATTTCAACAAGAAAATTCCAGAATAAGATGATGGTTCAAATCGAGCTTTTTAACACTGATGTCAACCCATTCATTCTCAAGTATATTCTGTTGAAATTATACTTGCATCATGCTTGGATTGTGGATAACATTTGATTGTTTGTTGCAGCCAATGAGGATACGCCTCAGCTGTACATGGCCTGCGGGCGAGGACCAAGGTCGACAATACGAGTGTTGCGTCACGGTCTAGAGGTGTCGGAGATGGCTGTGTCTGAGTTGCCCGGCAACCCCAACGCAGTCTGGACTGTCAAGAAGAGAGTTGATGGTCAGTAGTGGTCAAGTTTATATGTAGTAGTTTGGTCACTCTTACACTGTGTTGACAGACTCATTTCAGATTGCCATGGGTAGATTGATATATGGTTGGTTATTTGAATCACAATTACTGTCATTTTATGTGTCAAGTAAAATAACCATGGGTGTATGAACCTCTCCTATCTTATGGACGACAAGTTGCTGTAAAACACATGGGTAGTTAAATAAATTTTTTATTAATAGGCAAGATATGGGAGGTATTAGTGTATCTTTTTCGATTTTGTCTTGCACTTATTTTGAAGGCTAGTTGACTTTTGGAACTGCATAATAATATTTTTGCTGATCATAATTGGTTTGATTTCATTTCATTATAAGGGTTATTTACAGGATGAAAGATGATGAAAACTATTATATTGCTTCTGAAAAGTGTGATGTTTACAAATCGAGCTTTTTAATTCTGATTTCATCCTGTACAAATAGTTTTATTAGCTTAAAATACTATTCCATATTCACATTTTTTCATTAGGGAAGTTGAACAAGTGTTAAAACTGCTTCACATACATTTGATTGTGTATTTTGTTACCAATGGTAGTTTGAACTGTTGAGCTGTGTATCTTTTTTGCCAGTTTTACTGTTAACATTGCACAATCTGTCCCGTCAGTGAAAGTTTGCTGATGGTCCACTTCAGTGCAAACATTAAATCCAACTTGTCGCCTCTTGTAGGAAGTTGCCTGCACGAGTGAATCAAGGATGGAACATCGATAACTTAATTTTGTTCTGATGAAGTAAAACATTGAGTAGCCAACGTAATGAGGCAGTGTGTTTCTAGATAATTAATGACACATTTTATGTAATTTTATTTTCCATGATTATCAAGAATCTATGTATGTAGTTGTTGAGAAAATAACATTCGCATGTCTTTGGCAACTTCATAATTTCCAACTCTTCTATGGAGGCCTAGGGGCTAGTCTTCCAAACTAGTTTTCCTTCCAGTTTTCTTTTATTAGCTGTATCTCCCATACTTATCACAAAATGATCAGTCCATCTCAAACTTATAGCTGAGTGTACTTGCTGCACTTTCTCAGACCATTGTAGCAATAATGTTAAGTATTGTCTTGGTTGTAATGTGGCTTAACCTTGCAAGTTTTTTTCCATTAAAGACACACAGTTTGAAAATGCTAAATTTAATTTAAATTTAATTCTAATGGGTTTAGTGAATTTTTTTATCAGTTGGAAAATGATGAAACATTACTAACAACCAGAGAATAATGATGGTGTTAATCGAGCTTTTTAACCCTGATTCCAACTGTTTTCTAAATTTAAAAATCTACGTTTGCAGTTGGTTAGAGATTTTGAGATTTTTTTGGTCTCTAAATGTGTAACTGGGCCAATTAATGCGTTTCAAAAAACAGTTTAAATATTTTGCTTACAGTTTCCCATAGCTGAATAATTTAGGCTATTCAATTCAATTCAATAATATTTACAAATTATAACAAACTAAAAAAGATTTTGCCCATCTTTGCTAAATCTATTTAGGTTTATTTGAAACATCGGCTATTAAAAAACACAATGGCTACAAAAGTTTCTTGCACCAATAAATCCCTTTATTGTACCTAATTAACAAGTTTAGCTAAGTCACATGATGTAGATATATTACAGTGGAACCTCGATAACAAGTCCCTCTTGTGATAATAAGTGTAATTTTCAATTCCTGTTGAATTTATTATAGCCCTAAACAAATGCTATTGCAAACCTCGATGAGAAGTCTACCTTTATAACAAGTCTTATTTCATCATGCCCTTGAGAGACTTATCGAGGTTCCACTGTTTTACTATGAATGCTAATCGATAAAGTAATCCATTATTCATCCTACATATCTTCATCTTCTAGTAGGCGTTCTCTACCATCATCTATTCATGGAGAAAGGACCTTGTTCAATTTTGTTTTGTATTCTCACATTTCCAGGCAGGCTGGCGGTTGGCAATGCTGATGTTATTAAATAAAAGTTACTAACTTAACTGGTGTACATTAAAAATTGATTGTACACCAGTTGTTTTGTTTTGCAGGTTTCGCTGCCTTGACTGCCCGATAGATGATTGACAAGGTAAGAAAGAAGACTGGAGTCGAGGAGAAATTACGACACGTCTTGATTTCAAGTGCTTTAATTTCCAAGTTAACAAGTTTTTAATATAGGCCTACCACAGGTTTTTGAAGCTCTTAAATTAGGTAAATTAGGTCCTGAAATCTGCATTTTCTTTTACAAATGTAACTCAACATGATGATAATTAAACTAAAAAAAAATAATTTGAAAAGCTACCTTCTCAGTTTATTTTTTTATTGTGTAATGATGAAATGAAATTTTATTAGAGCAAGATTAATAAATAATACTAAATTCGTAAATCTCACTATTTCTTTGAAATTTAATAATTTTAACCTCTTACATTAAGGTTATTTAATTTGAAAATATATATAATAGTTGTTTTACTTTTTCTAAATTATCCAAGTATATTTTGTATTCAAAAGTAACATGGTCATAAAAACAATAATGAAGAACCCAAGATTTAATTTTAATTGTGGTTACTTGATATTGATGTAATATTAAATTAAGTTAAAACTATAGGTTATAATTATTGTTTGTCTAAATTTAAGTAAATTTCTGGATGAGGGGATAAATAAATATTCAAATTTTAAATTGTCTAGTTTTCGGTCCTTTTTCTTTCGAAGTGACATTGGTTTGGGTGCCAATCTGCCTAAGTTTTAGTTGTGGCTTTGCATTTATCGTCTTGTGTTTTGTTTCTTCTTTCGAGTTCTCAGGGGTCTGTGAATTTTTCTTATTTCGTTACTTACTCTTACCCCCCATGGTCCCAGACCTAACCAACAAACTGTTTTACTTCTTCCAATCAACTGTCTTCTCTTCAAGTGGCTCTCTACATTCTCATGTCTTTGTCCACTTCAAGTTTTTAACTCTTGTAGATTAATACCAAACATTGTTATTTATTGCTTACATTGCTTGACTCTTAAACAATCAGTTCAGTTCCACTTAAAATCATGCCCTTAATTCAGCCTGTATTCACATAAAACCATGTAATTGTCTGGGTACCTGAGTGGCTTATTGCCCTCTAATACATTTTATATCATACCTTCAAATCTGAATATTTTTGGTTCGATTCTGATCGATTGTTCTTTACTCAGATGCAATTTATCGTTAGGCTGTCCAACAAAAAGGTTGAAGTTAGCAATACGACTTAAAATCTTTTTAAAAACACCAATTGTATAAATACAACACTTGTAATGATCATTGCTCATCCAACATCAGTGCGGAGCTTGTTGCTGTGAAGTAGAGTGTTTGTGTTGCAGATGAGTTTGACGCGTACATCATCGTGTCGTTCGTCAACGCCACTCTGGTGCTGAGTATCGGAGAGACTGTAGAGGAAGTAGCGGACTCCGGGTTCCTGGGGATTACTCCGACCTTGAGCTGTTCAGCTCTCGGAGACGATGCCGCAGTTCAGGTGAGTCAGCTGTCACTGTTGTCATGCGCTATATGTTATTGTTGTTTTATATTGAGACCCAGGCCAGTTTTTATAGAATTAAAGCACATTGATTTTCAGCCAATTGTGTACATTAATGAGGAACTTATTCCTCAAAATCGTAAAATCCCAGATAAAATAATGAACTTAATGATTTTCCTTACTGTTGTTCCCTGACCTTTACCTTGCGTCTGGAAGTAATTTCAAGGGATCTCAAACAAAATGAGCCATTCGAAAATAGTTAAATGACAATGAAGTTAGTTGACCCGTTGTCGTTGCTAGTCAATCCAGTCAACCTGCTCCTATTTTTTTACTTTGTTCCACAAGCTTGTAAAATTCTTTCCATTTACCGAAAACCAAAATCTATCTCTGTTGCAGGTCTACCCCAATGGTGTGAGACACATCAGGTCGGACAAGAGGCTGCAGGATTGGAAGGTGACGGGCAAGAAGCAGATTGTCAAGTGTGCTGTGAACCAGAGACAAGTGGTGATAGCACTGACAGGCGGGGAGTTGGTCTACTTTGAAATGGATGCGGTGAGTCCTAATTACTTGACTGTCTGCTGTATGTTTATGCATTTCCTTTAAAATCATCCTACAGAAACAAATCTTTGTAAATATCACAAATAATATTTTTACACTGAGCATATTGGTTCGAGAGGCATTAACACATTGTATTACATATTTGTTGTCATCCTAGTTTCAAGAACAGGAATTATATCAGCAATGGCAAGACGCATTCTAGGGCATTTCTCCTAACTGGCATCAACCAAATAAGAAGAATTAATTGGATAAAGGAGACCCCTGAAGTAAATCAAAGCTAAAAAAAAGCCTAATCAAAGTGTGGCTAATAGTGTGGGGGTGTGGCTGATCAAAGTAAAAATTCCAAAGGCCGAACCGTAAGCATGGAAGGTTATGCTGAAACTGGGAGTTCTTTCATCTTATAACAAATATATCTACTGTAAGATTCTTAGTAGGTCCATAACTTAGCTTTTGTTGAATTTTCAGATGTATTGTAAAATTTTTTTTTTAGACCAGATAACTTGTGATTTAAAAAAATAAAAACTGATAGTCCACTGGGATGCCAAATCATTGAATGAGAGAAATGTCTGGTTTTGTAAATAGCGTAAATACCTTGACATGGCTCTCATCAAAAACAAAGAATTTTGTGATCATTTATGGGTAGTTTCACATTAAACTGACCACATCCATACAGGCTAGGTTATGTTAAGTTGGTTAGGTTAGGTCTAGGCTATTTGTACTTCCCAAAAATATGTAAAAACTTATTTCATAGCCATTAACACACTATTATTTTGATCCAATAAATTGCACATCGCCACTGTTATACATAATGTATAACGGCATAAAGTGTGCATACAGTAACAGGCAGAACATAGGGGAAACGGTAAGATTCATTTTGAGTGGGTCAAGTGAAGTATCTTACCTGGCTATGTTAGCCTTACATTTTTAATATGTTGACTTGATAGATAAACTTACAACTCTCTTTTTTCTTCCTGAAAAACTAACTCAAGTAACCAACTTGAGTAACTGCAAGAAACTTTGTCTTTCTACAAGCTCTGGACGTCTTGAAATTGGTTTTCGTACAACAGCGCACTTTATACTCTTAAAAACTTAGCAGTAGCACCTCGTCCAAAGCCGCTGCCAGTTGTAAAATGTCCATTACATCAGCGTTTGGTTAGGCTAGGTTAGTAAAGACGTGGTGAAACTGCTACTTTTCTGTTAAGTTTATGTTTCACGACGACATATCTCATGACGCCCAGAGCTTGTATAAAGACTATGTTTATTGCAGTTACATGATGAAGATGATCATGGTGTGGATGATGATGGTGTGTATGATTTGAACATGATGAGATTTGGATGTCCTGCAACAATCAAATACTTTTTATTAGACGTTGCGAGACAGCTCAAGAACTATATTTTGGACATCGGGCAATGTTTCCGTAAGAAATCCAATGCTCGTTAGTTCACTGCCTCCATGGCTGTGGTACTTCCAGTTTATTGGTACATCAAACCCTTTGATTAGCAGGGTTGGTGTTATATTTAACAGCTAACCTTACTGTCAATGGAACAATACTATACAGTGTTTAACAGACCTGTTTGTTCAACACATCAGAAATAGCTCTAGTGCTAATGTATTAGCGATTGCAGTAGATGGTAAGCAGTATTATATCTCAGTGATGTGTTAGTTCCATTTTTTACGGTTCTGTTCTTGGCCGAAATACATAAAAAAAATGTACACACGCTAAAATTTTGATTTTTTTTATTTAAAATTTAAATATCAAACTACTCCTTTAAGAAAACACAGATTAACAGAGATGTTACTCACAGCTAGAGTTGTAGTTTATAAAATAATAGTGAAAGGAGTCCAATGCTCGTTAGTTCACTTCCTCCATGGTTGTGGTACTTCCAGTTTATTGGTAAAGCAAATCCATTGATTAGCAGAGTTGGCCATTGATTTAATAGCCAACCTTACTGTCAATGGAACATTAATATACAGCGTTTAACAGACCTGGAAAATCAAGGAAATTAGTTTAGGGTCAGAGAAGTTTTTAAAAAATGACTGAAAGTCACCAATAATGTCCTGAAACAATAAATAGTCAGGGAAGAGTGTACGTTGTGTTTTGTTGCCTCAAAGTAAAAAAACATTTTTTTTTTGTTTTTAGTTAATCCTCCAATTAGTTAATGTTGTAAGGAATCCAATGCTCGTTAGTTCACTGCCTCCATGGCTGTGGTACTTCCAGTTCATTGGTAAAGCAAACCCATCGATTAGCAGAGTTAGTTGGTTTTTGATTTAACAGCTAACCTTACTGTCAATGGAACATTAATTTACAGTTTATAACAGACCTGAATGGTCAGGGAAATTAGTTGAGGGTAAGGAAAGGTTTAAAAGACATCATAATATTTTTAGGAAAATGTGGCTAGCCTGAGACCATTTTCAGTTTTCAAATACCTTTTAAACCTTAAAGATGGTTGCCTTTATGGTTAACTTCAACAGTGCAAGGTGTTAACTTGTTTTGTTGATTGTAGACGGGAGAGCTGAAGGAGTATGACACACACAAGGAGATGGCCAGTGATGTGGTGTGTATGGCGCTGGGCAACGCACCTTCAGGCGAGCAGATGTCAAGGTTTCTGGCTGTTGGACTTGCCGACAACACTGTCAGAATCATCTCACTGGACCCCGACGTGAGTATAGTGTACAATGATTCATAAGAGTAATAGGACAGGGTGTATACCAACCGGGAGAACCGGGAAATAACCTTGAATTTGAAGGGACCTGGAAAAAACCGGGAAAAAGCCGGGATTTTTGGTCCGATTCCGGGATTTTTATTTTAGCCCCGGTAGAAGATTGTAGTCGTAAAATGCATCTTGCCGCGATTGCGGGCGACGACGATGACGTTTCCGTGACCGCAGGAGACGACGATGACGTTTACGTGACCGCGGGAGACGATGATGACGTTTCCGTGACCGCGGGAGACGACGATGAAGTTTCCGAGACCGCGAAAGACGACGATGATGATTTCTACACGGCCGCGTGATATGCTCATGTTTTTGCCGTGATTGCGGCCGACGACGATGACGTTTCCGTGACCGCGGGAAACGACGTTGACGTTTCTGCGACCGCGGGAGACGACGATGATGTAGACACGGCCACGGGAAATATTCATGATTTTGCCGAGATTGCGGACAACGACGAATATGACGTTTCCGTGACTGCGGGAGGCTATGATTATGTCTACAAGGCCGCAGATGTTCATGATTTAGCCGCGATCGCGGACGACGACGACGATGACGTTTACGTGACCGCGGGATCAACGATGATGTTTACACTGCCGCGGGAAATATTCATGATTTTGCCGAGATTGCGGACGACGACGAATATGACGTTTCCGTGACTGCGGGAGGCTATGATTATGTCCACACGGCCGCAGATGTTCATGATTTAGCCGCGATCGTGGATGACGATGATTACGTTTCCGTGATCGCGAGAGACGGCGATAATCTATACACACCGCGGGAGATGTCCAGGATTTTTCCATGATAACGTAAGACTGTGATGACGTTTACGTCACTGTGGGAAGCGACCACACGACCGCAGGAAATATTCAGGATTTTGCCACCGTTGATAATGTGTTCATAAAAAATTAAGATAATATTCAGGATTTTGCTGCTATCAAGAGAGAAGATGTTTCCGTGGCCTTAAGTAATGATGATAATGAAAATGATTACTATAATAAGGATTATTACTTTTTCAACACTAGCTCACTATGGACTTTGAAACAAATTTGATGTAAGTTTATATTGAATACTTAAGCTGCAAGTCTTAAATTGATTGTAGTTTAAGTGGAACCAAAGAAATACTCGGGAACCTGGAAAAACTTTGAAAAACCAGGAAAAACCTGGAAAAAACCTGGAATTTCACTTTAATAAAATAGTATACACCCTGTAGGAGTCATGAGGAATCAGATGACTTTGTTTGTAAGCTTTGAAATCAAGCTGTTGTTTTGTGTGCAATCTGAAAATCAAAGTCCATTGAATGAGAAATGAACCAGATTGGAAATTCAAGCACTCTAATTTGAGAATGAAAGCGCTTAGTATATTTTGTTACAAATTATGGTTTTTGCAGGACGGACTATCCCCACTGAGTATGCAGGCACTGCCAGCCGCCGCAGAGTCTCTGTGTATTGTAGAGATGGGGGGAGAGGAGGGAGGTGGCGGCACGTTGTACCTCAACATTGGACTGACCAACGGAGTGTTGCTGAGGACTGTGTTGGATCCTGTGACTGGCGACCTCAGTGACACCAGGACACGGTACCTGGGCAGTCGTCCTGTCAAACTCTTCAGGATCAGGATGCAGGGCAGTCAAGCGGTATGTCTCTACATTTATTATAGTGTTTTAACTGAGGATCGTTGGAGTTTTATATTAAAAAACTTATCTTCCATGGTTAAAAGTACAAATTCGGTGAAATATTGCAATTGTTATTTCTTGGTTGGGGAGATGTTTAGGGGTTGAATTGGTGAAAGTACTTTCTATAGTTTCTAATTTGTTAAAGAAATCTATGTTAGAGGCAAGGTCATATTTAACTGTATTGTAGCTTGTCTAAATAGATTACTGCACATCCAAAATTTTAACCAGTATTTTCAACAATGCAGTCTATTCCAAAGGTTCATCAATCTACTTAAATGTTGAAGCCGACCTTCAAGTTTTCTAGTTAGTAGAGTTTTTTGTTTCCTGTGTTATTTTGTGTGTGTGTGTGTGTGTTTTTTATACATATGTGTGTGGCACTATAACATAACGAGGGATAAAATAGGATTTTAGGTTGTGACGCCTCATTTTTTTCTTCTATTTACCTCTTTTTAGATAAAAACCTACACCAATAATTATAATTTGTAGCATTTTACTGAAGCAAGGTTTAAAGAGCTATTTGAACTTGATACATAAATTATAAGCTTAGAATTGAATGTGTGTTTATAAAATTTAAACCAGATTTTCTCAATCCGGTAAAAAGAATTTTTCTTTTGTTTTTGGAAATACTGGCCAAGATATACTCTTTCTTACTTAATAAGCCTACTATCTCAACATAATCGATAAACATTTTCCCTTGTGTTCTATGTCCCACCTTAATCTTAAAAGACAGCTGTTAGTTCATACAACTCTTTGTCCAGGTGCTGGCCATGTCAAGCAGGTCGTGGCTCAGTTACAGCTACCAGAACCGGTTCCATCTGACTCCTTTGTCGTACGAGTCACTCGAGTATGCGTCTGGTTTCTCCTCAGAGCAGTGTCCAGAAGGTATTGTTGCCATTTCTTCCAACACACTGCGGATCTTGGCTTTGGAGAAGTTGGGAGCTGTTTTCAACCAGGTTAGATTTCAAAATTACTATTTCATGACAGGGGTGGTAAGAAAATGTTATGGTAAACACAAATAAAATAATAATGAGAATTGTGTTTTTATTAAAAAAATTAAAGTACCAATAAAAAATTAACTGAATTTTCATAACTACTTTTTGTTTTAGGTGTCTTTTCCTGTAGAATACACTCCAAGAAAGTTCATTGTTCATCCAGAATCTTCTAATTTGATCATTTTGGAAACCGAACACAATGCTTACACGGAGGAGACGAAAAAGCAGCGGAGAATACAAATGGCTGAGGTTGGTAGACTACCTTATTTTTTAAATTTGAAAATAATGTCAAAAGTGCTGATAACTAGAACCATTAATCACATCGTGGTAAAACCTGCTCTATTTGCACATGAACCCTACAGACTCAATATATTGGGGACTGTTTCAATTTGTGCATACATGAAAATGTTTGCATACAGTGCATCAAAGGAAGACATTTATGATTTTTTCCTTAGTTACTGGCAAACAACATTTTAGTATTGTGTTTGTGGATGAAATTATCGATGTCCGTTTATCAAATCTTTTATTTATGATCAATCACAGATTACTTTTTTCTACTTGTTTGACGATAGTTTTTATGAATTTCAGTTGATTCTTTACTCCAAACTCCATACTATCTTTAGGCTGTTTGGTTTCGTTTAACCTTTATGATAAATCCGTCTCTTATTTGTTTTAAAATTTAAAGATGATCCCCTTTTTTATATTTTTTAATACTTTATTTTATAGTGATTAATGTTAACTTAAATGTCTGAATTGTGGCAGTTTTGCAAGGGAATCAGTTCACCTATCTTTTAGGCTGTATATCTCTGTTTTTACTCATTTTGCACATGAACCCTACAGCCTTGACATTTTGAGGACTGTTTCAATTTGTGCGTAGAATAATGCTTCATACAGTATATGAGAAGAAAATTTTTATTTTTGTCGAGTTACTGTCAAGCAACATTTAAGATCGTTTCTCTATGATAGCTTTTCAGTGTTGTAATAATTAATTTAAGACAGTTTTATATAATCAAAATTTATAACATTGTGTAAAAGTTGAATTTAAAAAAAGGATTATTCTGAAAATAACAAAATTCAGCACACATAGATGTTGCTTATCAGTCAAGAGAAGTGAAAAAGTTGTGTGCAAAATAAAAAGAGCAGCTGGGAAAAGAGTCACTTGCTGGTAGGTGTTGTTTGACAAAGGCGTGCCACAACATATTTTAACAATTTAAAATTCCTATTTACACAATTCAGCAGTTAGAAGTTTTTTGGGGCAAAATGATGAAGGTGACACTCTTGAATTCTGTGATATTGATGTGTCCTGCAGTTCTGACTGACCCTTGAAATAGTAGTTGTTGCTGACTACAATTTGATTATGCTGTGAACAGAACAAGAATGAACTTGATATGTTTTTGAAAGGTAAAAGATGTCTGAAAATGACTTGTTGTTGTACAGGAAATGCAGGAGGCTGCTGGTGAGGAGGAGCAGGAGCTGGCCAGAGAGATGGCCGAGGCGTTCCTGACAGAGGATCTGCCAGAGAGAGTGTTCTCTGCGCCCAAGGCAGGCGCTGGTATGTGGGCCAGTCTCATCAGACTGTTGGATCCTGTTGAGGGCAAGACTCACCTCGTTCATCGGCTGGAGCAAAACCTCTGTGCTGTCTGGTACGTCTTGCAAAATATTTTAACTTAAGCTATTTTTAAATAGAGCAACTTTTCTTTTTTCAACTTTTACTTAGTCCAATTCTATCACTGGTTATATCAACGGTGAGTTAGTGGCTAAGTGACATGAAATCAAGGTAGCCAGTCGGGTTTGCTAGTATATTTCATTGTTGTAAATAAGTTATTTTCTTGGTTTGAATAGTAAAAGTACATTTTAATGTAACACTTTAATAAAGACAAAAATGATGATAAAAGCACACAATGAAATCTGTGATATTTAGTGTGTCCTGCAGTTCTGATTGTCTTAATCCAAAGAACAGGTTTTTATCTTGATCATCCATCACGTTCAAGCATCACGATAATCTCCTATACAATCTCAGAAACTTTCTGATCAGCCAATCCTGCAATCTCAGTTCCTTTGTGAATTTCAGATTCCGCAATTTTCACATGTCTTCTGGGATCGCAATAATATTACACCGATTCATGACCTGAAAAATACATGAATTATTTATGCATTCCTAAACTTGTCATTACTATACTCTGCCTATAATCGGAAATGAGAATTTAAGTCAACATCTTAGTATGGGGATTAAACAATTTTAAATTATCCTAACCTCTAATTTTGATTAAAAACTTATCGAGACAAGTGATGATAATAGCACACGATGAAATCTGTGATATTTAGTGTGTCCTGCAGTTCTGATTGTCTTGAACAAAATTGCTAGTTTTATGGCAGCATTGAAGCATAACTCTCTAAGTATTTGCTGATTTTTTTCTTGCAGTCTGACACTGGTCAAGTTTGCCAACCAGCCAGAGACTCAGCAGTTCCTTATCCTGGGTGTGGCCAAAGATCTCCAGCTCAACCCCAGACAAGTGACTTGTGGCTACATATACACCTACAAGTAAGTTGACATTCCCTCCTCCCCTAGTCTATTTTTATTCAGTGCTCTTTGGTTCACTGTTGATAATCTTGACATTTCCAGTTCATTCTAATATAAAAAGTCACTCTTGACAATGAAATGTGACAAAGTTTCCTCAAGATATGTGCTTGTTGTCTTTTGAGTTGACGTTTACTTGCAGTATCCTAAGTCAATGGTTGGAGTTGTAGGTGATGATGAGTAGCGCAGGGGTCCTGAAACCAGCTGTTATGTGGGCTGGCAGGCTCGGCCGAAAGAGAGTCGAGTCTGGATTCACAGCGCTTACTGAACCTGCATCTAACTTAAGTTTTTTTATGACGGTTTTTTAAATCAATCTTCAAAGACGGCTTTTGTAGTTCTCTATGTTCGGTGACTCAATGAATTTGTTTTTCACATTTCTCGATTTTAAAAAAAACTTTTAAACTACTGTATTAGTGGTAAGATTTAAAGGTGGTCACTTGTAGATCCATCTACAACTAGTACCCAACTAATGATGAGTTATATGCGCTTGCTTGTATGACAATCTGATTAGACTTTCTTCTCTGAAGTTGGGAAACAGAACGAAACCAATAAAATTAATACTCCAGCTATTCCGGTTGTGATAAGTTAATCTAATTTTCTACTCACTCCATTTTTGGTCCCAGTTAAAATGTTTTACCACCTGATTTAACATACTACAATCGTAATCAAATTATGTGTGTTTCTAGAATAGATGCAGCTTGCACACAACTTGAGTTAGTACACAGGACCCAGGTTGACGAGGTGCCTACAGCGATTTGCGGCTTCCAGGGTCGTCTGCTGGTGGGTGTTGGCCGCATGCTGCGTCTCTACGACATGGGAAAGAAGAAGCTGCTGCGCAAGTGTGAGAACAAGGTATAACTATGATCAGTAACTGTACAAAGGTTTTATAGCCATTTTTGTGAACGATTTACAGTCGTTGATCTGAGACACCAACAGATTTGTATGATACAAATTACTGATTTATTTTGAGTCAACAAACTTGTTAACGGGGATGACTTATTGTAGGCTATAGCATCTTTTATGTAACATCAACTATCTCAGTAAAAACGCAAAGGAATTTAAAGGAGAAAATATAATTTTAGGCATTTATGCTCTGTGAGTAATGCTCATTCGACTATGTTTCTTTTTGGATAAAAAGACGACAGATTGTCTATATAGGTGGGATGTCTACTTCAGTGTACAAAATTCATTGAATATTACATAACACTGATATTTCTCATCAATCTAAGAGTCAAAATATTATGGAACATTTCTTTTGTGTAATGTGACCAATTATTTTATAGGCCTACCTTCAAGTCCTTGGATGCTAACTTTTCTAAAGTAAACCATCAATCTCGATCTTATCAAACCAGCAACCATATTTTTTTATTTGGGCTTTATGGAAGTGGATTTTTAATCTTAATCTTGGGGACAATTACAACTTTCCTCCTTATGTCAATATGAAATGAAACAAATTCATTGACCCAAAACTAGTGCCAGATAACAAGCTCTTTAAAAATTCTAAAGTGCTTACAGAATTATATCTCAAGGAATTATCAATAATGTGACAAATGTGTGATCACACTCGGGGGTGCTACACGTGTTGTTGTCAACATGATGTGATTGAACAGTGTGTACATGAACAGGTATTGTAGAGGAGTATAGTTGATCATCCCTGTGTTCAGCTGGCTCTACATCCCTTACATTCTTATCGATCAATTTAAGTCACGTGTCAAATCTGAATCTAAAACCCATTGAATCTCAAGAAACTATTTGAAATTTTAATGATCATGTTTCTATGATCACCAGTGATGCCCATCAATGATTTAATGTAATGCATTAAATATTGTTTATTATACCTAAGATAATTTTCTCTCAGGTTTTCTCTTGGGCATGGAACAAATCACACGCTTATTTGTATTGCTTTTATCTCTTTGTTGTTTAATACTTGAATTGTAAACACATGTTCCAGCACATCCCCAACCTGATAGTGGACATGAAGGCCATGGGACACAGGGTGTTTGTCAGTGACGTGCAGGAGAGTGTGTACTACGTTCGCTACAAGAGACAGGAGAACCAACTCATCATCTTTGCTGACGACACACAGCCTCGCTGGATCACCACCACCTGTGTGCTCGACTACAACACTGTCGCTTGCGCCGATAAGTTCGGCAACATATCTGTGGTACGATATCTAGTCAAATTCTCACATACAGTGCTTTTTATAGGATTTAAGGTTTGGATAAAATCATTTATAGTGGCGAGTAGGATTATAATTCTTCCCCACCACCACCACTTGCAGTATAGACTTGATTATACAAAACAATTGGGGTTGTTCGGATAACTGATTTTTCTTCCAGATATTCGGTCATAATAATAAAAAAAAAAAAACCCCAATTATATTGCCAAACTAACGTATTGAGATACATTACTTTACTTGTCATTGATGACATTTGAATTAGGGGTGTGCGAGTACTCGAAACGTTCGAGTAGTTATTCGAGTAGTAAACTACTCGAACTCGGCTCGATGCTTTTAAAACTACTCGAGTTTTAATCGAGTAGTAATAGTTTTGGAGAAGGAGTATATAAACTGCATTTTGTTTTTGTATTAAACAGATTTTCGTACCAATATTAGTAAGAAAATAACACATTATCTTTATGGAGTTTTATTCCTAACCCCTTTTCGTCATTCACCTATTCATCAACAATTGATACTGATACTGAAGACTGAAGGTCTAACGTCTAACGCATTGCGATTCACGGAAGATAGATACAGTAGATACGGCTACAAATCCTACACACATAGAATTATTCAATTTTCAAGGTAAGTACCCATTTTTAGTTTAGTTTATTAATTACTCTTGAAATAACTTAATTTTAAACCACTTTTACTTTATCAAAAATTGATTAAAAACTCATAAAGTGTATTATACTTAAGGAACTACTTTTTCATTGAAAACGTCATGACATGGAGAACAGACGACGAAAGGCAAAACTACAGAAGAGTGACGACGCTTGGTTTTATCCACTGAGCTAAAAATATAACTGGAGGTAGCACTGCCATGGCAGAAGTCTGTCAAAAGCGTGTCGCTGATTTTGTTAGGTTGGTATAGCAGTGAGTTTTTTTTATCCAATAACATGGCTTCTATAACTAGGTTGGTATAGAAGTGAGTTTTCTTATCCAATAACATGGCTTCTTATAACTCACACCTCACGCAAACATGGCGGCTGGCGACACGCATCTTTGACATTCAGTGCTACCTCCAGTTAGAATTATAGCTCAGTGGTTTTTTCCAAGGACAAAAAAGTTGGTTATTTTTGTGACACGATTTGTTATAAAGGACATTCATTATACCTGTTTATGGATCAGCTGAAGAAAATGGTACTGTATTTATTGTTAGTTCTGTCCGGTGCACTGTAGAGGTTGTGTTTGGTTTACAATTTGTTTCTTCTTATATTTGTCATTTAAAACCTCGTTTAACCAAATAAAACTATCTAATCATCAACAATAACTCATCCCCTAAACAGTAAAGCACAAATAATAAACCTTAACCCTAGAATCATTAAAATAAAGTTTCGTCAGCACTAGCGCCCAGTGTCACTGGACATGAACTAGATACAAAAAAAGCTTCCAAATTTACAATGGGAAGAGAAGTCTACTTGTGTCGGTTAGTCTATGGTAGTAACCTTTACTTTTTATTTTTATGTTAATAAACAAACGAGGTTTTAGGGACCCGTCAAATATTATACATCTATTATAATATTCATATCACTATCTATAATAGTTAACATAACCTTTAATGGAAACGAAAAGTAACAACAGTTTATGGATATTTGCTTGTTATAAAACATATACTTCAATTGAATGGATAAACTTCCTCTTTGTCCTTTGTCGTCTGTGGACTCCCTCTGGACTGTAACCCGACTGACTGAAGTGATTTAAAAAAAATCAGTCTGCGCCAGCAGAGCAGGCAGCCTGTTTTGTTTTATTTCATGTTCTTCTCAATACTAATACTATTCATTCACATTTCAAACTCATAACGAAATGCCGGTTCCCTGTAAATTAGTTAAGTTAAAGTGTCTTGTGTTATTCTGACTGTGTTAGCTTTAGTTTCTAGGATTTTAGATTGTGATATATTACTGTTGAAATATGGAGGAATTTGATGTGGACGACCCTTCCCCGCTACCGAGTACAAGTAGTACTAGTACTAGGCCTAGTAATAGTAATAGGCCTACTTCCGACTCAAGCCTAGGCCTAGGCCGAACTAAACGTCAGATTGCTATTGCTATTAAAGTCACTATTATTTGGCCTTATGAATCACTGTTATTGATTGCTAGATAATAGATATTGATATTATGAAAAGAAAGACTGTTTTACACTGTAAACAACTGTGTTCAAGGGTGTGTAACATAAATGTAGGACAATACATTTATATTAAATGTATACGTGTACATTGTTTTATTACATGTATTTTCTGGTTTAATTCTTATTTCATTTAATCCATTACAGTACTTTTATTAATGCTATATAGTTCTCCATAGATATCTTATTGATATGGTATGGTAGGATGGATAGGATTAAAAATGCATATATATTAGAAAATATGTAGGTGAGGTTAGGTTCACACAAATCTGTCATGTAATAGGTTAACGTAAATGTGTACTGTTCTAAATAGAATTGGATACAAAAATCAGGTAAAAAAAATAAAGAAAACAAAATTATTACTTAACATTGGGGGTATAGGACAACTTTATTTTATGAAAATGGACCTAATGCATTGCTTTTATTAAGTAAAATCACACTAAACAGGTACCTAGTAACTATATATATACTTACCAGTTGTTTTGAACATTGTTTTTAAGTGCTTGAATGAATTCAGCACTTACGTAATTACTCGCTCGAAATTACTCGATACTCGAAAAAATAACTAAATACTCGACTCGACTCGACTCGAACTAAAAAATCACTACTCGCACACCCCTAATTTGAATACATTTTACATGCATTTTTTTACTAGTTTTGATTGTTTCCTGATATTGTAGCTACATCTTTGAGCATATTCAGTGGTCGTAGCAACAGTGGTAATTGACTCTCGGAAGTCGGATAATCGGGCTTAAGATAATCGGTGCTCTACTGTGTACATGTTCAGAGTAAGACAAGAGTGGTGGCGGATGTTTTCTGTCTCTGAAAGTATGGGAAGTTGATACTTGTAGCTCTAAAAATGGATTACTTTTCACAAAAATTGCTAATAACTAAGTGGTACATCATTGCAGAAATGCTGCCAAAAGAAAAAGTAAAAAAAGGCAATCGGTATCAGGCAATTTTTAGTTTCACGCCTCATTGCCGAGTACCACCTAGGCTGATTAAATTTCAGGATTACTCAAAGTAATAATAACTAATTTCCTGTAAGCCTCTACTGGATTATCGTCTAACCGTATTTCTGTGACAGATCCGACTGGCCCCAAGCATTACCGATGATGTAGATGAAGACCCGACGGGCAACAAGGCTCTGTGGGACCGCGGACTGCTGAACGGAGCCTCACAGAAGGCAGACTTCATCACCAACTTCCACATTGGAGAGACAGTGATGTCGCTACAGAAGGCCACTCTAATCCCTGGGGGTTCTGAGTCGCTGGTGTACACAACGCTGAGTGGCAGTGTGGGGGTCCTCGTGCCCTTCACTTCCCACGAGGACCAGGACCTGTTCCAACATCTGGAGATGCACATGAGGTCGGAGAACTCTCCGTTGTGTGGCCGCGACCATCTCAGCTTCCGCTCGTATTACTACCCTCTCAAGGTACGGCCAGGTCAACAAATAGATGTTTGAAATTTTTGCAGTACATTACAAACTTGGGGTAATGTTGACTAATGAGTTGAAGAAATTCGTTCGCTAAATTCAAAGTAGACATATCTAGTATAGTTCTACCTTTTCAACAGCACATTATTGAAATAAATAAAATTAGCTTTATCCATAAATATTCAAGGTCAGACTTCTGGCAAGCGCTCCGAAATTGAATGCCCCAGCCTTATGTCCGCAGATAGCACTATTGAAAGTCGAGCTACTATTTCAAGACAACTATTGAAAGCTACAAAGTTTTGTTGTTTACCAACATGGTTGCTCGTAAGGCTTAGGTCGGTAGATATTTTGTGTACATCGGTATCTGTTTAAATTCTTCAATTATTTTCTGTGTTATTTCATTGTTCAAAAAGACTATTCCTGGTTCTATAAAGTCAATTCCAAGTTTCTATCTGCATAAAATTTGTAAAAAAATCATGTTTCTGTTTGAGTAGTGGTTTTTCATCTTCAAATTTTCTTCTAAAAACATGTGGGTATACTAAAAGTTGTAGATAGTTAAATATAATTCTGTTAATTTTTGTATTTATTTTTTGCAGAATGTGATTGATGGAGACCTATGTGAGCAGTATAACGCCATAGACTCGGCGAAACAAAAGAGTATTGCAGAGGATTTGGACCGAACACCGTCCGAGGTATCAAAGAAGTTGGAAGATATTCGCACAAGATATGCGTTCTAGACAGACATTTCTTTGCTCACCTTGTATTATAGTTTTAACATGTCTAACTTTTTGTATTTTGTATTAGAGCTTTATTTATCAATATGTTTTGGATCTCCTTGTATAGTTAAGAATTAATAAATGTATTAAAATCAGCTGATTGATCATGTTTCCTTCTAGCCTTTTTTAAACACATCCACCGAAATCAAACTTGACAGCATCAAATTTCTACTACTGTTTCAAGCTCAAATCTGGTTGAACTGTTGCTATAAAACATTTCTACAGACAGGACTAATTCCTCATTCAAGCTACTTTGACCACAACAGATTATTGCCTTGCTTATACCACAGAAAACATATTACTATAACCCAGAATGCCAACTGCATGGCAAAAAGCATTAAGTGTTTTAAGCAGCATAGCAACGCTGGTGGCGCTGCCTACGATTGACAGGCAAAGCTCTCTCAAAACACTTAATGGTTTTTACTATGCGGTTGGCATTCTGGGTTATAGTAATATGTTTTCTGTGCTAATACTCCAGTAGTGGGAGTTTCAAAGAAGGTTTGCATATGCAGCAATTAATACACTCAAAGGTAAAAAATCCTGGTAAAGATCTAGTAAATTAATCTTGTTTTGATTTTTAGATAGATATAATAGTATATTTCGTACCTAGGGCCGAAAATGAGGTTTTGCCGGCTCGAGATAGTTTTTAAGTTCGAGACGAAGTCGAGAACTTAAATCGATCGAGAGCCGCAAAACCATTTCGGTCCGTGGTACGAACGCTATTTTTCACCACACTATACCCTATTACCACTATTCACCACAATAATAATGCACACTGATAGTCAACACAACTACAACTTTAAGGTTATGTGAAGAAATAATTTGAGGAATCAGCAAAAATAAAAATATATAGTTGCTAGGCAACGGTGACAATAACACAATTCTATTGAAATGCTATGGATTTTGATTATGTATTTAAAATGCATTCATGTTTTAAGTAAGTAAGCGGACAGCTGATTTTGCGGCCCCGGCCTGTAAAAACCTGCTCGGTCCCCAAATTATGGACAGCTGGCATCGCCAGCAAAACGTAACTTTCGGCCACCAATTAACGTATGTAATACAGCCAAAAACATGATAGTGTGGTGAAAAGTGTTTTTTGAATACAAACTGCTCTAACATTTAGGTGTGCAAAAATGCTTGGTGAATATTTAGCTACCAAAGTTGTGTAGAGTGTTAAGAAACCTGTTTACCCTCCACTGCAAAAAATAACACTATTGCCAGAGATTTTTTTATCGATAAAAATGTATTAAACGTATAAATGTGCTTTATAAGTATATGGTCTAATAGCTGTCAAAATATCATGATGATTACATCAGTAGTTAGTTTCTTTGATATAAAATGTCTGCTCAGAGACCACAACAAGTAAGATTACTAACTGGATAATATGAAATTTGTCGATAAAATTTCTTATGATATTTGTAAAGGCTTTTTAATTTAGGGACGGAACAGTTAAGAAACTCAGCTGAAAGCTTGAATTGAAGCTCTTAAAAATATAAAAATGTAAATTTGATTTGCACATAATGTGTTCACACATGGTTGAGTCACACAGCTAAGTGGTCTTCAATAATTAAAACTAGAGGTCGTCCAGTGGTCGAAACTCGACCAAAAATGTGTACAGACTTCTCTAATTTCACCCTACACTGTAAATAAAACATGTGATTGGAGTTTCTTCCATTTGTGTTTTGATTTTCTGTTTATAAAACATCAACACTCGTTATTTTGTCACCAGCATGGCAACCCATAGGATCAATGTAAATTTTTTCAAAACTTTCTAAATTCATTTTTTGTGCTTATTTTTTAGCCTATTTTATATTTTAAAAAGATTCTGCACTTCTACAGGAAAATATCTTTCCAACGGTATGCGTAGATTTTCCCTGCGATGCACACGAGCTGAGATAAAAGGTTTTAAAGAAACATGCTTGCTTATTTCTGGCGGAGACTGTACTGTTGTACTTTGTGAAATTTGGACATTGTGAAACGGTGATTATTTGAAAGTTATAGTTTTGGACTTATGAAATTTTGCTACAAGTCATATATTTGACTTATAGAATGGCCTTTAAGTAAACAGCCAAACTCCCGGAGATATTTTATGGGTCAAAATTAACCGAGAATCAAGAAGAATTTTTTAAATGCCTTGTTATGTTAATGAGAAATTTGCTATTTTGTTTTTTAGTATGTAAAAATGTATATCTCCTAAAATATCAAAGATATCTTTATTTAAAATTTGGTTTGTACAGTAAAGTACTAAATAAAGTAGCAATAAACTACAGTATTTGTAAAAAAAAATCAAAAAGAATGTTTATTTAAAATGGCAGTAATTTTATTTTTTTTACCACTGCATTGTGCACTGGGACAGTCAGTTGCTAGTTTCATATAAAATTTCAAGACAGGGTAAAATGCCTAAATTTTATATTTCTACCTACTGGGAATTTTGAATTTACCGTGATTGGCGGGATTTGAACCTAGGATCTCGGGCTCCGAAGCCCCAAGCTCTACTGCTAAACCAGCTGCTCCACCCCCCCCCTCAAACATAGACAGGAGAGCTAAGAATTAGCTAAATAATAAATTCCTGTTACCGTAATTTTAATTTTACACTCTGAATGACCTGAAATTATTTGAATCATATTGTAAATCAATAGATGGCAGTGTGAAGACCACTGACAGATGGATTGGGGTGGATCTTGTCCTGTCCCAGTGCACACTGCAGTCGGCCACAAATGGGCATTTTGTGCTCCCTGCTTGGTGCTCCAGAGCCTGTCAAACCTGAGTTGGAATTGTGAATTGCAGCATCCTAACTATGAGCTTCTCCAGAGGCCCTTGGCATTGTTCCAACAAACCAAGAGTGCTTTCCATGACCTCATTCAGAGCTGTGCGGTCATAGAGTATATGCTCTGCAGTCTCATCAGACTGCCCACATTTCCTACATGCAGTATTGCAGTATCTCCATTGTAGATCCTCAAATGATGTAGGGGGATTGCACCCAGGAAGCCATGGCCTGTAATCTTTCTTAGTTGCCTCATGTCTAATCGTAGAACATTGGAGGCGTCCGGTCCGTCTAGGAAGGGGAGAAGAGTGAGCTGGCTTGCCCTATGTTGAAGCCTAACCCATCTTCTTCTGAGCCACTGCCAAGACTGACTTACATGCATACCCATGATAAATTCCAAAGTCTAGGGCTGACGCCACATTTGTCAACTTGTCAGTCACCTCGTTATTGTTCCTTCAGTAACGCTCTGTTAGGTCCCTGGACACTCAGGCATAGAAGGCCTGAGTGTTGAGGGACCTAACAGAGCGTTACTGTGTTACACTTGCCCAGGGAAAATCCTGTTGTGAGGCAGTTACAGACCACCTTGGACTTGAGGGAGTATGTTTTATCTATGATCGCAGTTATCTCAACCTAGAACCATAGACAAAAAGAAATAAATATATTTACTATATTGTCTATGCTAGAACGCAGTTGGGTGCGTATAGCAGTGGCGTTGCTTGGTTAAATTCCAGGGGGGGGAGAAGCCTCAAATTTCCCAACTGCCTAACATAGATTTCCCAACTATTTTTTTTTAGAAATCAATTTCTGTACCGGTACTATTTTTAAAAATCCACAAATTATTATACTACACTGCAGTAACATTCAATTCAGTAGTTATAAACTCGCATTAACAAAACATAGCTAGTTTTACATCCTATACAAAATTACTCAATTTCTAAAACTTCTACCAATTCATAATGAAATTTTATGACTTCAAAAAGCTTGAACAAGTAATGTTTCGAATCCAAAAAACTTTAAAAACCATTGTGGTAGCAGACGTAGCAGTGTAAAATTTTAGTGATATAAAATAAGCCTCAGAGTACAAATTAGTGGGTATAGAAAATATATTTTATTACAAAATAATGAAATTAAAATACTTTTAGAAGTTAAGATCAACATTTTAACTTTCATAAAACTTACAGCTAGGGTAGGCCTAAACAAGTTTGTAATGATGAAATATTAATATCAGTGTTGTGAATAATATTACTCTAGCCTAGAAAGGAATAAACCTAAAGTAAGACTCGTATAAAATAAAAACGTTCAACTTGGTTGATAATAAACTTATACATACAATAAAAATGTTAACCTTCATCTTCATCAAACTAGAACTTAGACAAAAATCAAACTTAGAGTGAAAGTCATACATCAAATTTTAGGTTATGTTTTGTCCACGTAGATCTGTTTCAGAGTGATTAGTTGATTCATTTTTGTAAATCCTTAATTAGGAGTGATAAATAACTTGTGTAGATTTTTAAAATATATTCAGGGAATAAATATTCCATTTAGTTTATTAAAAAATAAGAGTTTTAAAGGTAATACCGATACACAAAACCTATGTTTAATGTTATTTTAATCTGCTTATTAGCAAGTACTCCGGTCAGTTAGCCTGCTCCAAATACCACAAAAAAGGTATAAAATATATTTCATGTGACTGACATGAAAAATATTTTTGAATTTCTTGTAAACACTAACAAACAACATAATTGAACAGAAGAGCTACATTGCTTGCACTTTCAAAATTCAAACTTGCAGACGAATCATTCTGAATAATCAACACAGGACAGGATCAAGGTACCCAACATGCGTCCAATAAGGAACAAAATTTCTCGTAAACGAAATTCCAACAAGCTTTACCGCTAATTGATTATTGATTTCTTAAAATAAGGCGTGTTTAGCCATGGTTTAGCCTTGTTTAATCAAAGTTAAATTAAATCAAAGAAGCGTCAAGTTTATTCGTCCAAGTCAAAGAAATTTTTCCCTTTGATGGATTTTTGCAAATATTTAAATTTTGTTTAGTTTAAAAATATATTTTTCTTGTATCCGACTTCCCAACTGTCCCAACTCATGGCAAGGAAATTCCCAACTTTTCTCTTTCCCAGATTCTAGGGGGGGGAGGCTCCCCCCCCTACCCCCCCCCCCAAGGCGACGCCCCTGGCGTATAGGCATTTTTAAGTCCATCCCATTTTGCACTCCATGAATTCCAGGTCCAGCCTCTATCACACAATCACACATACTTCTTACCTTTGAACTCCGATACTTTAGTTACTATTTGATCTTTACAAAGATTTTCAAATTGACAAGAAACTGTCAAAAAAATTTTAAATCAACGGCTAGAAATAATTTAGTTTTGAATGTTGTTTAACCTGTAATCCTGTCCAATACAATACAATTACAATATGTTTTTTTTCTGTTTATTTGTTGTCTGCGTGCGTCAGGCGTCTGTCATAGTGCCAAATTCATAGTTCTGTGTTGATTTGTCAGTTTCAGGTTTCAGCTTCAGCATAGACCTAGCTAGGCCTATCAATAATTTAATTATTTGTGTCCGTACTGAATGAATGTACATGTACAGTTGGTTTTAGTTCTGTTGTACTGTACAGTACACACTTGGTTTATTTTGTTGGTTCGCGCTGTCAAGTGTCAGTGAATGCCGCATTTTCAAGATCATGTTGTGAAATGTAATGTATTTGTAAGCTAGCCTATTCTTACTTCAGTTTGTTTTATATTACCTGCCTCCGAACTGTAATACTGGTGCATAACTAATAGAAAGCTACCAAAATCTGTCTATACAAGTAGGTTCCTGTAACATAGCCTATTTTGGGTTGAAAGAGGTCTCTAGCCATTAAAGTTTATACTATTACAATATTATTTTTCCCCAATAAACTGTTTACGTAGGGGATAAAGTTTATAATAAACATTCAATATATTTTAATTAATTATTCAAATAACACGGTTTGATTGTTGACAATGATGGAGCCAACAGAAGAGGTTAATATTAATGTCAGGCCTATGCTTGAAGAAACGTTTTACATTTTGTCAAAGAAGAACACTGTTTATAGAGTGAAATTGACTGAGAAAGGTTTGTGCCTACAAAAAGAACATAATGGCAACATAAAAAATGAAACAATATCATTAAGTGACATCATAGGTTGTAGATGTATGAGAAGGAAAAGACGTTCCGAAAATTCTTGCGCTTGTCATCCCAGTTCAATTAGAAAACATGATCCAAGGGTGGTAGAAGAAAATTCAGCAGACAAAGATGAGTCAGATATAAGTGCATATTTGTACATTTACTCGTACATTTTAAAAAACTGTAAAGTTAAGTCTGGACAGAAACGCGATAGAATGACTATTACCTTAAGATTTAGATCATTTGATAAATATGAAGATAATATGAGAGAAGCACAGAAGTGGAAATCTTCTATCAAGCACCTAATTCACAGCAGAATGAATCCTCAATTGTCACCAGGGAAAATAGTCCTGACAGAGCCACTCATAGGTAAGATAGTGCAAAAATTATCATATCCTACAATTGATTTAAGAGTCATTGGAGCCTAGACGTTCTAACTCTTAAACCAATTAAGTTGGTACTAAAGAACTACTAAGCAAATTTCTAATCTCACAGTATACTACCTATGTAGATAGCCTATTTAAATTACAATCACTCCTGGTGTTTGAAAAAATATTTTTGGATGGTAATAAAACTCTTCAGCGGCTGTTTGAAATTAAATTAACATTGCTCTTATGACGGGCAAATCCCAGATGGCCGTTAGCTTCCATGGACTCCATTGGAGAATTATTCAAAACTACAAAAGAACATTTCTAATCCCCTTAAAAACTAACATTTTTGGTGTTTAAAAAATATTTTTGGAGCGATAAATGCTGTATTTTCATATTTGCTGTAAATTACTATTTTCAAACTCTGTAGCAGCTGTTTGAAATTATCCGCTAGCCTCCAAGGACTCTTAAGATCAAGGATTATGTTACCGTACTTAGGCTAGGCCTATAACTTATGAAGATATCATTATTATCACTTATGAAGATATCATTATTATCACTTATGAAGGTATAATTTCTAATCCTTGAAGCGTTAAGTTATAGCACATAATAATAAACAAGCTTTTGTAACTCAGGCCTACCTAAGTTATCTTAAAAATTAATTCTTACCGGTACTTGACAATTGCTCGATTTCGAGCATCAGGTACACTAGTAAACTGTTATAGCTTGCATGTCTATGCACATTTAAAATTTTTGTTTACGTATAGGCCTACTTATGTTTTTAATATTTTAATAAAGAAAACAACACACCTTATTGTCTTTCCTGTGGCAGCAAACCTAAGTATGCTTTATAAATAATGATATTTTTTAGAAATAAATCAATTACAATTTTAAGGGAATAATTTTGTGAAATTCCAGCCAAGTAGATGGAAATTTGCTTAGTCTGCAGGTTTGCTGCGGCGGGGGTATTTATATATCATAGGGGCCTTAATGGGATTTTCTGTTAACTACCTACCGGTAGGCCTATGTCTTTAACTTTTTTTCAGAAATTTAAATGTAAAACATAAAGTACCGGTAAACTTATGTTTAGGAATTTCTAGTAATACTTTTGAAATAGTTAATGGCCGGACGATTATAGAATCCAAAACAACTAAAAATAACAGTGACTGAGTGGTTTTATAGTGCTTGCCGAACAATTTGAAGTTCGCAAGTCAAACTTGAGACAAGTCGGTATGCTAGTTTTTGATGATTTTAACTGAATCCAACCTTGAATCCTTGATCTCTAGATGTTTAGAAAATGTTACATACCCCATTCACAAAATTTAGGCTTTTTTAGGGAAAGAAATCAATACCCTTCACTTGATCCTCCCCTCAAAGAATAGCTCAACAGCTGAGGTTTGCCAAAACACAGAGACAGCTGCAGCATAGGTACATAACCAGCCCTCCCCTAAAACCACGGGTCTGACTTAGGGGATGTACGAATGAGGCATTTAGTTCTAAATTCCTCCGTGAACAGCGCTCTAGTAGAGAGCACTTTGGCAATGAAGGTTTACTAATCGCAAAAATAGTTCTGTTCATAAAATACAATTATAAAAGCCTCAAATTCAATTTTATTATTTTTTAATTATAAAATTAAACTATCATAACCTAACCGAACTAACCAAACTTGCTGATAAAGAAATAATATAACAAAAGTTTAGTAATCGGAAAAATAATTCTGTTTATTAAATAAAACTAGAAATTGCTCAATTAAATTTTATAATGACTTAATAATAAAATTAAACTGTAATAACCGAACCAAACCAACCAAACTTGCTGATAATAAAAACATCTTGGACAAAAAGTTAATGCTACCAGCGGGATTCGAACCCGGGACCTACAGTATATCAGCCCAGCACGCTAACCATTAGACCACCGAGGCCGATGGCTATTGTCCGTTTTGTTACGGTAATGGCGTTCCCTCAGCTAATAAGAAGCCCACAGCTGTCATCGTAGCCTCTTCTATACCTCCCCTGAGTAAATACCTAAAACCACCTATATTATGTGGTAAATAAATATATTAATATTAGCTAAATAAACAGCTGATCCTGGTCAGTAACAAAGTTACACGTGGAATCTCTCTCGCCCCAAAGCATTTAATCCATTCGAGTTAAATCTTGCCTTAGTCATAATGATAGGCCTAATGATTTAGAGATAGTTTAGTTTAATTTTTACAGTTTTTTTTCCAATTTGTTTTTCTGTAAGGTAATATTCTAAAATCAAAATAAAAAGTACAATTTAACAACTTTTTTCCAGTTTTTGCAAAATCACTTGTCAAAGCATAATGACAAACTGAACAGTATAAATTCTCTACAGCATTTGTAGTGAACAAAGGCAAAACCAGCAAACATGACTGCTGACTCATGACAAAACGTTGGCCTTGAAGCGACATGGCTTTTACATCATATCTCAACTAATCACACATTGCCATTAATTAGGGACTGGTTTGGTGATTCAACCAGTTGTGTAGTAATTTTTACTCACACAAAACATTACTTAGAATGAGAATCAAAAATCTTTATTCATATTGTAAATGTATAAGAAAAGTGTCAAATTTCATTGTCAGACGAACAACTAATTCTTTTTATTTTTATTTTGCAGAAAAACCAATATTGCAACCATTTTTTATTCCAGCAAAGGACCTCCTTTACACACATCAACATGTGTTTACACATTTTATTGCACATTTTTAATGTTGATAAGGAAAAAAAATGTTAGGCTAAACTATTTTAAAATTAGGTGTACATATCCCTAATAATAATAAAAAAAATAATGTTGAAAAAGGCAACAAATTTTTCCATAATTAGTCAGATGTATTCTTCAAAATAATTCACACACTATCTGTTCTAATTTTCTCATTTTCAACTAAATTTATCTTTAGAATCTGTGAGTGAAAACACGGTTACTACAAAAAATAAATAATAAAAAAAAACGAATTAACTAACAAAAAGGAATTAAATGAAAGTAGGAGTGGAAAAATTACGTTCACTGTGTTTAAAAAATCTTATCTGTTGTAAACATATATATATATGTTGTACAGTACAGGGGTAGGCAGGGATTGTCTCATTGTCCTGCTATAACGTACAAGTCGTATTAAACAGGAAAAATAATTTTCAAAATACACAATTTCTTCATACTCATATAATTCACAAGGAGGATCAACATGGATATTGGATAACTAGGGATATTTTTGCAGAGAACAAAGTGCTGGTACTTCTAAACCCTAAGTCAGGCCAGGGGAAAGGTCGAGACGTGTTCCAGAGCAGAGTGGTTCCCTTACTGACGGAGGCTGATGTCAACTACGACCTCCACGTTACAAGATACGCAGACGACGCTCGGACACTCGTACGATCCTTGGTAAGAGATCCAGTAGCCTCCGTGCCATTCAAGTTTGAATTACTTATTGGCTCATACTTGTCTTAAAATACCTACTTTGTATGGTCATCATTTAATAAGAAAGTATTAAAGTATAATATTGATTGGATATCGTCGAAAGGTGAATTTGAGTAGCTAAAAAAGGTATTCCTTAAGTATTTGAAAGTCTTTTAATTTCCTATTTTCAATTTAAATCATAAGATTGCACCAAGATACTATTTTCAATTCTTATATTTCTCTGAATATATAAAGTTCAGTTCATTGCTGCATTTGTCCTAAAAATGACTATTTAGGCTATTCAAGTTATTTATGGAAGGTGAAAAATAACACAGCTGTAAAATTGGTATGCTTTTACAATTTTTGTAATCAAATTTAAACTATACAAATTAAGAAACTGTTCAAAATTGGTTTGTATTTAAAGTAACTGGTACTTAAAAGTCCCGGTACCTAATTTTAAATCAATTTTATGTTTAGGTTCACAAATGATTTAGAACTAACTTATGTTAGTTAAATATACATTTTTTTTAATCAATTATTTTTAGTCTCTTAGCTCTCTATTATTTCTGGCTTGAGCGCATCGTCTGTCAAATTTAAATTCAAGGCAAGAGTTACAAATAGTAATTTCCATATTGAAATGTAGCTTCCAATTATTTCTCTTGTACCGAGTTCCAACATGTAAATGCCATGAGATGTTTTGAACGTAATTGCTTACACAGGTGTTTTGTAATTATATTCACCACAAGTTGACTCGTCCCATTACGACTACCTCGTGGAAAAATTTAAAGAGCAGACTCTAACATAAGCATTCAAATGATTGCAAATCATTAGATCAAGAGTTAGAAGGATTTGTAGATAAAAAAAACCTAAGAAGCTAAAAACAAATCTTAGCATTTCTATACAAAATTATTAATATAAACATGTATGATTATTTAAACAGCTTCATGTTTATTGAATAAAATATATAGGTAGATATCATACTAACTAGATAAAATTGAATCTTGCTGAAGTTTTACAACTACATATTGTGTGAATGTCTAACATACAACAATGTCTAACATAATGAATATCTAACTATTATTTTGTTCTAGACAATCTATGATGGTTGGCAATGCTGACACTTGATAATAAAAAATGATTATAATTAATGTGTGACTGAATAAAGTGACAAACCTTTAACTTTAAAGTCCCACTCATATAAGCATTGGATGGTTCTGTTGGATAGGTTGCGTAAATTCTTTTGTGATAAACCCCAAATCCGACATTTTACTACCTTTTTCCCTAACCTTTCTGTGAATGCCCACTGAAAACTTAAACAAAATTATTTTTAAAATTTATATTCATTATACACAATAGACAAAAATAAGAGACACAATTAAATGTATTGCCCATGGAGTACAAAAAGTTAAGTAGATTAAATCTAGGTGCCTTGTCTAGTTTTAGTCGTAAATGAGAAATTTTTTTCAGAATAATATTATCTCTTATCTCTTAGCTCTTTTGCTTTAAATCAGTGTTGATTTTAGTTTTGCTGTTTCGCAGGACATTTACCAGTACGGAGGTGGCCTTATTGCTATGGGAGGTGATGGTATCCTGTTTGAAATCATCAACGGAATGATGGAGAGGCTCGACTGGGAAACTGCGTTTCAGAAACTCAAGTTGGGAATAATACCTTGTGGATCTGGCAACGGACTAGCCAAGACCATCAGCCATCAGTTCAAGTAAGTTTCAGGCTAGGAATAGTAAAAACACTTATTGATAAGCATTCTGCGTGCTTTAGCTACCATAGCAACTTGGCAAAATACATCTTCCAAGTAGTATTTAGTCTCTGATTAGGTCTGATGATGATTGCTCCAACAAAGCCTATAAAACGTGCAATTAAACCTCTAGTCCTCAAAGGGTTACTTTTCAGGTAGGTGTGGAATTCGGTCTGTTAGTACCAGCTATTTTAAAGGAATTTAGTTGTTGTGTCAGTAATTGAGATTTGTTGTGAAGAAATCGTTCAAATGTTACCCCTTATGTTTCAGTGAGCCGTACGACCACAGCCCAGTGTTGGTGTCGGCTCTCAATGTTGTGAGAGGGTTCACGACTCCGATGGACCTGGTCAGGGTACAAACCCCTTCACAGGTAGCCTTCCATGTTTACATTATTTTTCTGAATAATTTTGATCAAGATTAGGTACAAATAAAACCAAATTTCCCTCACCACAGCAAATCTGCAGATCAAGGGAATTTCCATCACCTCAATTGGAATTTTACTAAAATATATCCTTAAAAATTTCAGATCTACACTGGTCTATTATAAGTCCTGTTATAATAATTGAGATTGTGGCCCTATCGAGATACCCTCCTGCTATTGTAGTGAAAGTTTCAACATCTCCTGCGATCAAGGCGATATTGAACTCCCACTCCCAGGCCTACGACCATGAAGACATTATTATTGTCTCCCGTGGAAACAGCAATATCTCTAAATTACCAAGAAGTCACAAAGTCATCGCTATCACCTCTTGTGATTGCTAAACTATCTCTACGTTCTCCCCTGGCTGCGAAGACATGACCATCGCCTCCAATGATAATAGCAATATCTCTACATTTCCCTTGGTCACAAAGACATCATCATCTTCTCCCATGATCGTGGATAAAACTCTTTGTTCGTGTATGGTCGTAAAGACATCTTCATCGCCTCCTGTGACCACAATAACATCCCTACGTTTCCTTGCTGTCGTGAAGACATTATCATCCCCTCTTGTGGTCGCAACAATATATCTACATTCCCCTTAGCCATCAAGACAAAAAATTAGATTATCTGGTCCATATAGATGAGATGTATATTTTTGTATCCAATAATCAATGATAATTATAGTATATGAATGAAGTATTGTGGTTTTCATGTTCCAGACCATGTTTTCGTTCCTGTCCGTGGGCTGGGGGCTGCTGTCAGACATTGACATAGAGAGTGAGAGACTGAGAGCATTGGGAGGACAGAGGTTTGCAGTGTGGAGCATCGCGAGGCTGATAGGTCAGTAGCAATCCATAGCCTGATACAGCAATGTCTGGCAAAAATAAGGATCAAGATTGTTAAAAGGTCGTCAAAACTACAGATTTTGGTTGAGGATTTCGAGCCTAGTCGGGAGAGTGTTTTTAAGCGGACTCTACCTTCTAATCTAACCTAAACAGGAGGAGAACTCGTTTTTCCATCTTGAAACACCTTTTTAATAATGATAAGTTTAGTAAACTGAGTTAAAGTGTAGCACTTTTTAACGCAGTTCAGTCTTCAATATAACATGAATAATGTTCTGGAAAATTCTAATGTAAAGTAAAACTGAAGAAAGGATTACTTATGTACTGATGCTGATGGCAACATCTCCATTTTGATTTTGTCTTTAAAAATGTATATAAGTTAATTTATTCCAATAAACAAAATTAACAGTTTCAAGCATAGTATTTATGCTAAATTCTTGGTTTGCCATCTAGGACTGAGAACTTACACTGCCAGGTTGTCGTATCTGAGGATTCCTGACCATGAGTTGTCGCTGGTGAACTGTGCCACGCCTGTCACGCCAGGCATCACCGTAGCTAGTCAAGACAACCTCAGTCTGCCTCACAGTGCAAGTCTCGGAGACAGCATCAACCTGGAGACCGAGGCCAGCGAGGTTAGTCAATCAATACAATCTCTATAATCAAACAGAAATTTCAAAATGGACTGCTAGCATGATGCTTTTTTGTAGTTACAAGTGTTTTTTAATTGACGTCTCCAACGGGCTCCTTTTGCAATGAGGCAAGCTCGTTCAAATTCGACAAATTGTTCTCGTACTCACATACAGCTTTGTACCAATTTCCCACTCTAGGCGAGACTGTCTCGTCATTGTTACAGTAGATAATGATTGGAGGGGACATTGATTTTCCATCTTTTGTGCTGATTTTGTTGTTGTTAAAACACTTTTTTCTGTGAAATCCTGTAAAATAACAGAAAAAATCTGATTTTTACAAAAATGGCTCAAATGATATTGGTTAAAATTTAGTGAGTTTTAGTCCCTTTAATTCTTAACAAAATGGTACAACTTCCAATGCTGTAAAAACTACAGTTCAAAAGTTACTGCAACTTTTGTGATTTTCCCCATAAAATATCATAGTTACTCCCACCACTTATCCCATGATAAGGGCTGTTGACGAGGTAATGTGTTGACGAAAAAGCATGTGTTGGATTGCTGATACCGTTTATTTCTGTTAGCATATATTAATTAACTTGTAATGCATATCAATAGTAATTGACCTCTTTCCAAAGAAATCTAATCACCGGACAATTTATACCTGGATGGCAAGCCAATTTTTGTTTCGTCGTCAAAGGCTACTACAACAAGACTGATTGCTTTATTTAAGTGGAAACGAGCAAGCTTAGTTATGGAGAAATAAAAATGGCTTTTGTTTGGACATGAACTAGTGAGCTGTCTCAGAAGGAGCTCATTGATCCTAATGGACAGTTCTTGTGTTTTTTTCTTCTAACTGATCAATACTTGATTTTACCCTCCGTCAAATACTTAATAAATAATATGATTTGAAATTGGTTATTTTTGTCAAACTTGTAGATTATTATACACTTGAATAAGTTAAATTGGTTTCAACATCACTAAATACCTTAGTTTCACTAGAATCGAGCCCACTTGATAAGAACCATCTAAAAAAACCAGGAAAGTGGTAGCTGAAAAAACCCTAATCATTGCATCTGTTTGGTGATGTTTTTCCTCAAAGTTGGATGTTTACAGGAAATGACTGGTTCCGATTGCCGAAAGTTTTTCAAGATTTGCCACCCTCAAAAGCAACATATTGTGAATGCGGTAAAATATTGTGTTTATGTGAAAGGCAGGAAAATTAACACCAATTGGTTGTGGGTGGAGATTTCACTTTGTCAACGAAATTATCATAGGAAATTAACTCATCAATAATAATTGTCTATGTTTATGTATATATATCCTGTTCCGTTCCAGATATTCCCGGGTTTGGGCGTCGACTGGCCTATCCATCTCCTGATATATCTCCTCAGTTTTTCTACCTCCACCATCTGTGTTTTACTCATCTTCACATAACTTTTCAACTCGTTTATCTATTTTTTCTAGGTCTTCCTCTTGATCCCCTTCCCTCTATCACCATCATCGTCTACTTATTCTCTTTTCACATATTCTACCCAAATCTCCATAAACAACGTATTGCTTATCTTTGAGTAATATTCATTTTTTTCAATTCAGTTTTGACAAGAAATATTTTATTGTTGACTTTATGTCTTAAAACGGTAATTGGGAATTCATATTATATGTTATTTATGTTGTAACAAGTTGCTGTGTCATCTAGAAGCAGATATTAATCCATAATAAATGTATGCTTGCACTATAACTGCTACTAGTTTCATTTCATAGATCAGTCATTGTTGTAAAAATATTGTTTGGGCATGTGTTCAGTTATAAAGCAAGCAATTAAATTATAAACCATTTGGGAGGAGATTCCAAGAAAGTCTCGTGGCTGATTATGAAGTGATTTTAGAAAAAGATCGAGTGTACCTAGTTTACATGAGGAAATTATAGCATTCACTAGAGATATACACAAAAAAGGTACACTACATAACACTGATATTTTTCCTTGTACAGTATTAGCTTCAGAGAGTAGGTGATATAAAATCTTAGTCACATTCATAACTTGTTTAGTCAAAAGTTGCAATTGGTTGATACCGAAGGAAATAATGTCACTGATGGATCCTCTTTGAGCACAATGTTTATATATAGTTGATTTTTGTATTTACATTATTTATTCCTCCATTAATTGTTTTGATAGCGAAGTGACTAAATTACTTTTTAAAATGTTAGCGAAAAAGTCTACAGCCTCATTACAAACAAGAAAAATGTAAAAAGTTGTGGAGAAAGTAAATAAATTGATCATTAAGAGAAACATGTTGTTTTTTATTTACGAAGTAGACACAGTTACAGCATTTAGGGGATCAAGAGATAAAGCATAAAGCAATCTTGGACGATTTATTCTGAGCGAGCTAACTAGACTCATAACTTTCACACTTACTTAACATAGCTTGGTTTTGCAGGACTCAGACGGAGTGCGGAGAGACAGTTTCTACTCCGTAGCGTCTCGTCGCAGCACCTACCTGTCAGTGTCAGGCTCCAGCTACCTGAGTCTGGCTGAGGACGGTCCCGAGGAGGTGATGATGTACGGCCCAGCCTCTAACATACCTGCTCTCTCCCAGCCTGTACCACAGGAGTGGACTGTACACCAAGGTAAGTTGTCTCCGTCTTCAGCATTTTGTTGTATTGTCTTTACTTACTTACTTACTTACTCCTGTGGACATTAAAACCAAGGCGGTCTTTTGCCTCGCCAACCATGTGCCTCCAGAATCCTCTGTCATCTGCCAGCTCCAGGTCGGACTCCCATACTCCTTAAGTCATTTGTAACTTCGTCAATCCATATCATCCTTGGTCTTCCCAATAGCCTCTTGTTCTCCGGAGTACATCTTATCACTTGTTTTACCACCTATCTCCCACCTCTACATTGAATGTGGCCCAGCCATTTCAACTCTTTACCACTCCCACAATATCTGGTTCCTTATATAATTCCCTCAACTCCCTATTTTTTTCTTATTTCCCACGAGTCTCCGTCTTTTATTGGTCCAAAAATCCTTCTCAATACTTTAGTTTCAAAAGTAATCAGTATTGTATTGTCTTTACTACGCAAATATATATACAACCCATGTTGTTCTCCATTTATATTCCATCAGTTTTAGAGAAACAAGGTTTTTTTTTGTTGCTTGCAGAGTTTCTTCCAGCCCAGGAATCCTGGAAAACAGAGAAATATGCGTGAACTTTAAAATTTCACTGGGAAACGTGATTTTAGTACCGTTTTGTTGTAATATGAATCTAAGACAAATTCTTTTGCTTTGTGGAAACCCTGTGCTCGTCATGGATGCACATGTATGTTCTTCCTCTATGTTTTTGTTGATTTACCTAGGACAACTTATGTGATGCAGATTTTGAAGTTTTTCTTAAAACTATTGAAAAATTGTAGTAATACAGTCCTAGGATACGTCTAATCTTTAAAAGTGGTTTGACACCCTACCTAGCTATCTTTGATCATTGGGCTTTTAAATTGTCACCTGCGATTGTGTTACAGGTGACTTTGTGATGGTCCACGCCGTATACAAGTCTCACATAGCTGCAGATTGCGTGATGGCGCCAGATTCTAAATTGTCCGACAACGTTATCTGGTTATCAATCATCAAAGCTGGTATCAGTAGGACACATCTGCTACAGGTAATAGCCGTATTTGTATAAAACACAGTAATACATTGTTTTTATTTCTATTTGTATAAAACATAGTAATACATTGTTTTTATTTAATAATTGTGGTTTTCATTGATGATTTTTTGTTTATAAGTCAAGAAAACTTTAATAAAACTGTTTTATGCTAAACAATTTTACTGTAAGAAATCATGATAACTGTAAGTAAACTTTCCAACCATATTAATTAAGATAATTTGGCAATGCCATTTACAGCTACAACTAATTTTTCTGAAAGGATATTTTTTAACTAGCCTCCAACTCTCCCCTTTTGAATTTAAAACCAAAGCACCTTCCCCTCTAATTCCACCCCCCTTTGTGATTTTCTAATCAACCTCAATATCAAGTATCTTAACCGTCTCTGAATATACAAAATAATTCCTGATTACCTGTTTCACTAGCTGTCCAACACCATCACCATTCATACCTAACCAATCTGCCAAACCAACTGAAACCACAACAACGACAGTGATCAAACAACGGCCGCACCAGTTATCCAACACATAACCCCAAAAACCTTACACTCACCAATAGCTGCTACAATTGGTGATTTTTGATACACGGTTTTCCCTTTGTAATATTCTAAGCACTTTTCAAAGCTCTTACCCTATCCGAGGCTATGATGGAGACTCGAGTCCTGCGATAGCCCCAGTACCTACTGCAATTCTTAGATCTTGTTGTGTTGATAATTTTTGTTTTGAGTTTCTATGCTGGTAAAATTTTGTAATGAAGAAACTGAATAAAACTCCTGCTAATTTTTGTGATTGGGATTTAGATTTAACACATATATCTTGCACTGAAATCTGATACGCCAACCAATAGCTAGCAACAAACCTGAATGTGTTTGGTCTTGTTTAAAGTGCAAACAATATTCTCACTCAAGTTTCAGCCCTCACTTGTCTTCTTTTTTGGTCCACAAAAACATGTCTACCCTCTATTTACCATCCCTCTATGTGTTGCAGTATCTGCTAGGCCTGTCTTCCGGGAGTCATGTGAATGTAGCCCAAACAGAGATGGTTCCTGTCAGAGCGTTCCGTCTGGAGCCTCAGAGTCCCGGAAGTTACGTCACCGTTGACGGGGAACGCATTCCGGATGGACCATTTCAGGTGGAGATGGTGCCTGTGTGCGCCAACGTGTTAGCTCGCTCCCAATAGTCGATCTAAGTAGCGGTATTTGGTTGGTTGTTGATTTATTTAATTGACAAAGAAGTGATTCTACTAAGACACGCAAGTGGCACTTAACAGTGTTTTTGATTTTTCTGAAGAGAGCTTAAATTAAGGGAGTAAAGATATTTTTTGAAGAGGGTTAGAGTTCAGTACCTGAGATATGAGTCCAGGGGCTAAAACACAATAAATGGTCACAAAACATAAGAATGGTTGTTTTAAAAGGGATAAACTGACCAATTTTTGAACTTCTGGTTATAAATTTAAACATTTTAAATACATTTTACTCTTAGATTTTGAAATATTTGGACTAATTTTGTTACATGTTAAGTGACACTTGCTTCATCATATAAATATGATATTCTGTGCCAAACGTATTAACAGCATTTTTCATACCATGGACTGACATTGAATAATGTTGTAATTTAATCTTGTATCCAGTAAGTTACACATTCCTGAAAGCATGTTCCTTACTTGGGCATTCGATTGCAATAAATGAACAAATTTCAGTTAGCTGTAACAAGAATGTATATAAGTCGGGTGTAAAAGTGTAAGCCTTGTTGTTTGTACAGTTAGTTTGTTCTTTGTAAGTTTAAAGATACTAGATTGCTCAGAGTTACCTGTTTATCTACTTGAAATATTTTAATATTTTTATATTTGGAATAAATTATATTAAACATTTAAGCATTTACATACTGTTATTTAATATTCTATTGTTTATTTTACCTGTTTGAAAAGAACCTGTTGTTAACAGTTAATAAAATGTCTAAAAATTTGTTTTTAATTTAAAAAATTCTTATTTGATATTTATTTAGGTACACCTTTTTTCGTGAATTATGGTACATGTAGTAGGATATTTTCAACATCGGACCACTTTAGTGTTGTTTTTCTTCTTGGTCAACCAAATTGTAGCTTTGCTTTTCTTAGTGAGCTATACCATTGACTTTAAACAATAAAGTCGACATCCCATCCATATGGACCAGTATCCTAGTATGACTTAGTGGAATTAGCGCCCCATAGTTCTACTATCAACAATGTAAAATTTAATACTCAAGTTTGGTTAATTTTTCCTTAAACTACAATAAAACTGTAGGAACAGATATGTATAGGATTCGATCAAAATTCAGTAGAACTAAACTCCAACCATCCTAAAGTTTAAAGAAAGAATTTCAAAAGCCATTAAACTACAGTGATAATCGTTGAAAGAAGGCAGAAGCCTTGATTGTGGCAAAATCCTGAACATCCCCCAGTTAGGTAGGCATCATCACCTAGGCAATTTGTATGTTTACACTTATGTTATTTCTGTTATTACCATGGCAATAGGCATGACGTTGTGCCTTGTATTAGAGGAGGCTATGCCGTCTCCCATGGTTTATTAGACATCATCTTACGCGATTGCGGCATTTTCTTAAATGTCTTTATGGTCATGTCGACATCGTCATCATCTACCACAGTCATGGAAACGTCTTAATTGTCCTCCACGATCACAGGGAAAGTGTGAATTTGTCTATTGCAAAATTGTCGATAAAAGTTCAAAACGCCAAATTTTGATTAAAATCGAATTATCTGAATAATTTACAATCTGAAAGTGGACGGTCCCAATTGATTTGGATAGTTGGAGTTAAACTGTAATAAAAAAGAAGTATAAGGGTTGAAAATTGTTTTTCTTATAATTTCAGATTACAATTTTCATTTGGGAAGTAACATAACTTTTATGAAATTTGAAAACACAACTCAATCTTGGTATCAGCACTATGAGCTTAAAATCTCCCATTGTGATTTATATTTTTAATTATATGTCTTACTATTTAGTTTGTAGCTGGATAATCTATACTTACTTGATAAAGCAATATCATCTCTTTCAACCATTTTACTTTAGTAAAAATTTGTAGTCTTTTTGCAAAGTATTATTCTTACCGACCAATTTATCATCAATCATTCACAACCTTAACAATCCTAAGCACCAATGTCTTACCCCCATGGGTTACTATGGGTATCTATCTACAATTATAGCTATTTTTCACTTTCTTAATTATATTTTATAAATTTAGGTAGTAAAAACGTTTTTCAGTAGCAAGTTGAATAACAATTAAAACTTTAAGACTTAGCTATGAAGTAGTGATGTTGATTAGTGATTTATAAAATTTTAGCGATAGAATGGTAAATAACTAATTTTTTAATTGCACAATATTCTTATGAAGACTGCAAATGCAGTTTTACCGTTGGTCTAATTTAGTCACGCTGGTCTATTTATACTCGCATATTTTGTTTGTTAAAATTCAATATAGTTTGCTCATTGTATTCAAAGGCTCGCTTAAAAATTTATCTGTAATTTTTCTATCTCCGTTTTGTTTGCCTTACAGTTGTTAGCATTGCTCAGTTTTAGAGCTATGCTATGTGCTAATCATGTAATAGATCTAATAAAATTTACTTTAACTTTTTATATGTGCCAAAACAATTACTACAAACTTTACACATTAAAAAGCATGTTTTTTTAATTTCTTAAACCAGTGTTTGGAAAACAACAATTCCCTTATATGTTGATAGGTTTGATTTTGTATTTTATAGGAGCAGGCTTACCATAATATTGGCTGAGTCGTCTCATTAGTAAACACCAAATTTTAATATTTCACCGTCACTAACCATTTAGTCTATCACAAAAATAGAAAATAGGTCATAACTGATCAGTTGACAAACTGTTTCTTAGACAGTTAGACAATTTCAAGCTAAATAAACTAAGATACATAGTATCAGGAACATCAATCAAAATACTTTTTCTTGAGTGCCAGGTTGTATTAGTTTGTACGAGTTCCGTTCATAAAAGCATTTGCTCACATATAGCTAAATAAGAAACAAAGCCTTAATGTAAATGTTGTGGATCTGTCCTTATGTTACATATCAGTTACGGTTTCTACAGTGAATCGAAGGTGCTTTTTTAAGTTAAAATCTAATGGGATAACCTGTTTAAAAAATGTTTGTGGTAATTTCATTTTTTTATCAGTGTTGATATACATATTTAAGAATATTCATTTACTTGGTAAAACCATTGACTATTGGATACTGAAGGTAAAACTCAGGCTGTAACTATGTGCATAACTTTTTTTCCTTAATATCCCATAAAATAAGTTTTTTCATTAACCTTTATATAGTATGGTTTGAAATTATTCCTATGTTAGTTGAGGTCCGTTTGCAAAAACATTAGAAAAATGTCTAATGTTTTAAAAATGGATGTTAATCGTTAGTTTTCAGACATTACAAGTACAAGCATATTTTTATTGCACAATGTTCAAGCACTTTACTTTATAACTAAGTTTAAAAGGACTGTTCTAAAAGTAACCTCTGGTCAATTATGTAAAAATAATAAAACAATGGTCTCACTACTTCTGGCAGTCACAAAACGGAGGTTACTTTCTGAACTGCCCTTTTTTCTTTAGATTCTACTTCTAAAGAAAACTTTTGTGTTAGGTATATTAAAAAAATATATTATATTCTGTCAATTATTTTTCAAAATAAGAAACCAAAAGCAATTTTTACATTCTTGAATATTTACGGGTTAACAGATTCTAATTCTTTTATTACTTAGTAATATAATTGATTGGAAAATTAAAATTGTAAGCAGTTTGTATTACTTTTTTCACACGCAGAATAAGTTTTTTTAAGCAGCATGACTCTTGTATAGTTAGAAGCTTAAAAGCGGAGTAGTATAGAGACATCCTGTTGTTTTAAGACTGTATAGTTTACATCTCAAAATAAATTCTATTAATCTGTTAGCTGTTTTGTGTTTGTACACCTTTACTATTTTAAACCGATTTCCCTATTACTCTAGTCATACTCTATAGCTCATACTCTATATGATAAAGTCTGGGTATGTATTTTAAGACATCTTAAACACTTTTTGATGTCTGAAAAACTTTTACAGGACTTCTTATACATGTTATGTTACAGTTAATATCGATTTAGACCAGTCAAACCGATCATAATCATGTCCAATATAAGACTAAATAAATGGAAATGGTGTCCTTGCCTAAATAGATTAGATTAGATTAAGATCACTTATACGTTTTGAAACAAATTCCTCTAAGCTACAACAGACTTGAAGTTGGGTTGTTTATTTAGTAATTTGCATCTAACTTCATATTTTTCTTAATAAAAATATACAACTCTTTCCAAGCATTCGTGAGATTTTCTTTTTTACATATTTTGAGTCTTCTTCAGCATCTAATAACCCAAGGACAACTTCCACTTGATGTTTCGCAGCATTTGACCTTCCCAGTTTGTTCCACACAGAGACATGGCACGTTTCTTTTAATGAATGATATTTGTTGTACCTATGAATACAAAATTGTTTCAAATCTTTTGGACCAAGGCTCAACAAGACCATCTTGGATAAATGACAGTTTAAGGGAAGAGAAAAAACAGATTATTCAAATAAATAAACAAGCTCGTTTCAATAATGACTTAAATTTGGCAAAATTAGGTAGATTAAGAAATAAAATATATAGAAAAAAACTGATTGAAGTAAAAAAACAGTTTTATGATAGCAAGATTAAGAAATCCAAAAATGTAATTAAAACTACTTGGGATATTATAAACTCAGAAACCAGGAAAAGTTCAGTTAATTGCACAAATAATATATTTTTAGTAAATGGAAACAAAAGAGTTACAGATCCTCTCGAAATTAGTAATTTATTCAATTCTTATTTTATTAATGTTGTGAAGGACAGGCCTATTAATGTGTCCCCTTCTTGTAGCCAACAGACTTCCAGAGATATCCGTGAACAACTATCTCCAACCGGCTCAACCTGTGTCAATATTCAAAATCAATTCTATTTTCGTGACACTAATAAAGATGAAATTGAAAAAATTATAAATTCTTTTAAAAACAAACTATCCTCCAGCCATGACGGGATTCCAATGTCAGTCATAAAATTTGTAAGAAAGCAGCTAAGTAAAATTCTCTCTCATTTAATCAACTCCTCTTTTGTTAGTGGCATTTTTCCAGACAATTTAAAAATTGCTAAAGTAATACCAATTCCTAAATCTAATGAGGCTACAGATATTGGTAATTACCGACCAATATCTTTGCTATCACCAATATCTAAAATTTACGAGAAAATTGTTTCTAATCAATTAACTGTGTTCTTAGAAGAAAATTCAATCCTAGAAGACATCCAACACGGATTTAGGAAAGATAAGTCCACTATTACAGCGATTGTTAGCTTTGTCGAATCAGTCATTGAGTCAATTGACAAGGGTGAGCACGTGTTGGGAGTGTTCATGGATTTATCGAAGGCGTTTGATAGCGTTAATCATGAACTATTACTTTTTAAATTAGAAAAAATTGGAATCAGGTATAACTCTCTTAATTGGTTTAAATCATACTTATCAAATAGACAACAGTTTGTTGAAATAACTCACATCACTAAAGACAATTATAAATCAAAATACAGTTCAAATATGGGCACAATAAGATCTGGTGTACCTCAAGGATCGGTCCCGGGACCTTTACTTTTCATTTGTTACTTAACAAATTTTAAAAAGTGTCTAAATTTTGCCCCATGTACAGGTTTGTATCTTTATGCAGATGACTCTAATCTTAAAGTATCTGGGAAAACTGCAGAAGATGTTGAGTTGCTATCCACAATAGAAATAGCTTGTATTGAGGATTTTTTTAATAATCACAATTTAAAATTAAATGAAAGTAAAACCAAATGTGTCACATTCAAAACAAAACAAAACAAAAACAATTCCAATCCTAATATTGAAGTAAATAACCAACCAATTGAAATAACAGAAGCCGTAAGGTTCCTTGGCCTGACATTGGACAGCAACTTGTCTTGGGACAAACATTGTAAACTTGTTATCAATAAAATAAATTCTGGTCTTTGTGTGATTAGAAAAATGTCAAAACTATGCAGTGTTGATGTTTTAAAAATGATCTATTTTTCCCATATTCAATCCCATATATCTTATGGCATATGTGTATATGGAGCCACCTCAAATTCGAATCTAGACCAAATTTTGACAATACAGAAGCAATCAATCAGAGCTATGTTAAAAATGAACAAAGATGATTCTGCAAAAGAACACTTTAAACGTCTAAGGATCCTCACTGTTTATGGTTTGTATGTTCTTGAATGTATTATGTTTGTCAAAAACAAAAATTTTATTCCACCAATTAAAGAAAATAATCATAACTACAATACACATAACAAAAATAATTTTGTAATTGGAAAACACAAATTAGAGCTCTTCAAAAAAAAGACTGTCAATGCAGGACATGAATTTTTAAAATTTATTCCTTTGAAAATTAAAACAGAACAAAAACCCAACATTTTTAAAAAACGTCTCAAGGAATATTTAATGGACCTGTCCTTGTACTCGTTAGACGAATTGAAAATGGCAATATCATAGTTTTAAGCATTAGTTTTAACTTATTTGACACTATTCATGTACAACTATGTATACTATGAATAAAGATTCTTGACTATGACTATGACTATGACTATGACTATAATTTAATGTGTTTTTTGTACAGTATTAGGGTCACCAGAAGCCAAAAACACCTTTCAAATGATTATGAATGACAGGGTCACACAAGTGTATTTAGTAACCAAGTAAGAATAGAAGACGAGCTTTTTGAAGTGTCACCCCCTCAAGATGGTCTTAGAAACAAATTTTGCCTAGAACTACAATAATCGCTCTGCAGTAGGGGTATAGGGAAAACAGAGAAAAATACTTAGTACTGTAGCTTTAAATATTTTATTACCACTGAACTCTTAACTTTATACAACACTATATTAGATAGTTCAATATATACAAAAAAAACATAACAAATGTTTGTAAAAAGTGAACACTCTTACCAAAGCACTACACACACTTAGCTTTAGTTGGCATTTAATAAGTTATGGAGTCTTAAAATTTATGTAAATACTTTTGTTTAAAATACAAAGACACTTGGGATGGCCCTGATTTAGTGTACACAACAAGAAACAAGTTTTGCATGGTAAATGAGACCTAAATGTCAACTCATTTTGTTTTTCTAAACCACACATGTAAATTTATGTTATAATTTAACATACTTTATACGTTGATAACATTTAAAATAAATTATTCAGTCTTTCTAAAACTACAGTAGAAATATTAAGTCTCCAGGCAGTATTAGATAGTCGGATAATTTAAGTGTACACAGAGTGTTCATTAAACTGTCCACAAACTGTATGGATATTGTAACATAACTAATAAAATAAAAATAACTAACAAATAATAAAACAAAAAAAGAACCTCTCCTGAAAGTACTACGCAGCATAACAATAATGGTAAAAATACGATATATAGTTTCCATGGAATAATATCAGAATATATAATTTAACTGCCACTTCTACGAGTAGAAAACTGAGACTTAAAATATACATTGTTTCATTACCTAAAAATAACAAGTATACTTATTCGACTAAATATTGGAAAAGTTAATTTTTTTAAACCATAAATCCTTTTGCGCACAAAGTTTAACACAACAGCAAAAGTTAAACGTAATTATAATAAATGAGAAAAACCAGACAATTACTGGAAAAAAAAAACTAAAATAATTTGAAAGAAAAATAAAATTCAATCTCATTTGCAAAGTATGTAATGTCTGGTCGGAAATGATTGAGACATTATGATGAACTGGAGATATCCAGTGCACTGAGATTAGTGAGAAGGTCGCAAATCCCGCTCTCCACCTGTTCTGAAGAATCGCTCACTCGAACGAGCGACTCAAACTTGTTGAGCAGCTCAGCGTCAAGACTCGGTGCTTCCTTGCGCCTCATGTATTCAGTGAGCATCGAAATAACCTGAAAAACAAAACTGTGTGTCATAATGTGATAAAAAAAACTAGGATTTGGTCTGCTCCCTACAAAAACAGACAAAAAAGCCAATGGTGTTAAATAAAACAAATAAAATAATAAATTTGACTACCTAATACTTTTTAACAAAGGCTGATAAGGCTATGACACTTTTATTTTAGCACAACAATAGGAGTAGACTAATGAAAAATCCCTGGTTTAAGATGTTGTAAAAAGTATAGGGATGCCTCACTACATCAGCTATAAACTAAAACTACACACATTATAAACCCAGAGGATCACAATAGAGTGAGTTGATGGTCAGTTCCTTGTGGACAGTTGTTTGTGGATCTCTCTTTCTCATCACTTCTTCTTTCCCCGCCCTCCACTACCTCCTCTGCACAGTGGTCTCGTCTCCTCCAACCCTACACTTACTCATACTCGACCCCACTGATGCAGAAAAACCCACAGGTTAACCGAGCTGGGTACTTAGGTATTATACCGATCACAGCCTATTTGGGTTAGGTTAGGCTAGGCTAGGTTAGCTTAAGCTATGTTATGTTAGGTTAGGTACTCATAGTGACCACACAGCTAACCTAACCGCCACAGAGCGCTGTATAAGGCCTACTTAGGTGTGGTCAGTATAATACGCCCGGGCTGCACTAAGAGGATTAGCGGACGGAACGCTGTCCTACACATACCTGAGCGACTTGTTCCTTGAGCACGGGGTGAGGCATGGCTGAGCGCTTGATGATGTTGAACTTGGTGATCGCCAGCTGGAGAGGAGAGTTGGTAGACGATATGTGAGTCCCTGCCTTGAGCAGCAACGTGATCACAGGCACGCTGTTAGTACAAGCGGCCAGATGCAGCGGGGTGTTGCCGATCCTGTCCTTGGCGTTGGGATCCGCTCCAAAGTCCAGCAACAGTCTGTCAGATATCCAACATATTATTGCAAACTGTGAACTGTGTATATTGTATATATATATGTTGATGATCATAATCGATAGGTACACGAGATTCCTGCAAATTGAACCACCAGTTGGAGAAAAACAATTACAAATGAAAACAATGCTATGTGTTCTGGAATAATAACAGCCAATCGGTAAGCCAGGAAAACTGTTAACATTGTATGTGAACTTTATTATGGAACCAGGACTTTGGGAAATAATAGCCACTGGCCTATGGCTGAGTGTCCATTCATTAACGGCTTTACGTTGGTTCTCCATTAAGAGCGTAGTGTAGTATGAAAAAGTGATCACTAGAGATGTTCACATTGTTGATACGAGGGCTGGAGCAATAAGTGTTCATTAATAGTAAAAAATACATAGTTTGATTTTTTTATATGATCCTACTGCATTTCCGTCTCAGAATATTTACTAGTCCGAACAGGCTCCAGTCCCGATTACTTTGGATTAGCACGACTCTAGTGTACATACAACAGGCTATTTTGCAGAGTTTGTTGAAGTGTTTAGGAAAAAATTTGACGGATAAAATAAAGCACTCAGCAGAACAACTGCTAAAGACATTATAGAATCTATGGCAAAATAACATTACAAATGTGGAGAATGGTTAGTTTATGATACTAACCCTTTAAGGCAGTTTGACAAGCCTTCCTCGTGCGTAAAATGACACTGCTATAATTAGATGAGAGCCTCAAGACACAACCTGTTGTTTATCTGACGGTGAATCAGTAAACGAACAGGATAATGATTTAGTTGGAAATTTCCATTAATACTTGGGTTATAAATCCATTATGAGTATTTACCCTGTGGGTGTACAAACCAAACAAATAAACTAAATGTGTTACTTACTTGACCATATCTGCGTAGCCCATGCACGCAGCCATGTGCAAGGGAGTGCGTCTGTAATCATCCGACACATTGGGACTCATCCCGGACTCGAGCATTTGACGCATCGCCTCCGTGTCGTTCTGACCGGCCGCCCGACGCATCCGAATTGCTTCTGAAACAACATCCAACTTTGTACATGCTAGTCAAAATAAAATGTATTGTAGTAAAAAGCACTTCAACACCTTCACAAGAGTCGTGAGGATAGTTATCGTAACCAGCTTGACAATGAACCAGCAATGCCAGTATTGCTACAATTATCTCGATAGACCTGTACTGCATGGTGAACAAAGAGTAGGGTATAGATTAGGAACAAGGGCGTGTTAAGTCTAGTACAGGTAGTGTTTCTAAAAGACACAGGTAGACAGTTTTGGTGGTCTGGGCTCAAATCCTGTCAAATCAATGTTTAGTAATGGGTAAACAAAGTAAGGGATACTTAACCCTCCAAGTGTCCATAGTTTAGGCCTTAATGTCCACCTATTTTTGGCGCATTTGCAAGGTTTTATTAAAACGGATCTGAGAAGCTTAAAACAATGTTAATTCTAATGTTCTATATACCATTTTGTTTGGAAAATCATGGGCTTCAATATTATATATAAAACATAAGGAACACTTTTTCAAAAAAAAAAATTTTAGGTAAAAAAAATATAATTTCGAAAATTTTCAAAGAAAAAATAAGTTCGCGCTCAATAAAATTGTATAAATTATAGGCCTATAAATATTTGAAAATAGCCACTTTGTTCTAAATTTTATGAGGATTACAAATATATAATAATATAAGGAAGTAGATTTGCAAATAAATAAGTTATGGGCAAAAAACAGATTTCAGTACATAGCGTTTAGCTAAGAATGCATAGCCTAACCATAGCTAGGAATCTGGCTGATAATTTACATCAATATCACTACCTACTTCTTCAGGATCATCAACCAGCACTTCAAAACCACTTAAATCTTCTTATAATGCAACACGTATATCACTACTTTTGATTTTTAACACTAAAACAATGATAAACGTAATAAAACACATCAGTCATCGGTCGGAGGGTAACCTAGCTGTTTACAAATACACGCACGTCAGCTGTCTGCTACATATTACGATCGGCTCAGATAACGTACAGCGCTGAGACAGACCTCTGGAGAAAGCTTAGAATGAAACGGAAAGAACAATACCTAACTCGATCCAGTTCAATCCGATTCAGTCAGTTATAGAGCCTTTGCCGTAAACGATGTCTGCTTGTCGAAAAATCGACAAGTAACACTACACAAAGTGTGCTGCTTGTCGAATTTTCGTCAAGTAACACTGGGAGGGTTAAATTATAAGTTTTTTATCCCCCTTTGACTACTGTAATAAAAATTGGCCATTTTCATGTTTTTACAACAACAAAGATAAACAAATAAAGAACATTTTAAACCCCATGCCACCCAGTCTTCATTGCCCGATTTTGCTGGTTCACGAAATCATAAAAATTAATTCTCCCTGAAAAAAGTTAATTCATGCCAAATTTCATCAAAGCTCAAGTTATTGCATTTAGAACAAATACACACATTTTATAAATAAATTTGAACGGATAATAGTTTTGGCCTCTGGGAACATCAAAATGAAAAAGTAAATCAATTCTGGGCATAGGTCCATGCATAGGGCAATAACTGTCTACTGGATACCTTACTCCACAAAATGCCAAAGCCAAAAATAAATAGCCTTTAGGACACAAAATGTAAAAAAAAAAAAATTAGATTAAAAAAAAAGTGAAACATCCATTGAACTAGAAATTAACAATCAGTAAGACAACATCACTATCCGTTGTTTTAATGTGAGTACGAGTGCAAGTATAAACAACAAACAGTGACAAATTACAAAACAGTTTGTCAACTACGATATCTTTCCCTATCAATACTCACCCTTGACTCGGAAATAGTCGGATGGATCTCTGTGGCGCAAACACCTGAAGTGATGGATGCGATGAGCCGGATGCCTCAACTTGCGGACGAGCTCGTTTCCCTTGTATTGTATTCCCAGAGGTCCACCGGAGACAAAAACTGCAAGCAAAATACTCGTTTGGAACCGACAATAACAAAGTTACTGCAGTATTATTGTAGATAAACATAAAAAAAATAAGGTGCTGATTAGTGACGGGTCGGTACTTAACGTCAAATGTCGGTTCCACCGGTTCTTGGGGAAAGTACTGGGTCCGAGAATCGATGGTGAAATATTGGTACCGATACCTATTTTTATTTACTCATTTACAAAATTAAAATTGTCAACCATGATGATTATTTCACTTTAGGCTATTTTAAAGGGCATATTTATCATAAAATATTATCAATAGTAGGCTATGGGATGATTATTTCAGTATTTGTTGGTTAAGTTGTCGTCACTATCGTCAACTGATAGGGTGTGTTGCCGAGGTAAATTAAATATTCTGTTTTTTTTATGACCAAAACAAAATTAAATTATCAAATCATCGGTAGGGAAAACTTAAAAATAGTGTCTAGTATTTAAAAGATTTAACTTTGTAGGTTGGTAGTGGTACTTGATAAGAAATTCAAGTTTTTGTCAGTTAAGTTTCCTGGAAATAGTGGTCTAATGAAAGTGGTTGCTGTAGACATTGTAAGTAGAATTAAATATTATTTTATAATAAGATTTCAGAGAATAAATTGTAAATAGCATTTGTAGAAACCATTTTTGGATTGATATGTAAAGTAAAGAATAGTTTTCAAATCACTTTTAATGTATTTTAACAAGAGTAGAAAACAAGTAAAGTTCAGACAAACCTGTAGAGTTTTGTTCTTGAGAAGCACATTTTCACAAAGTGTTGTAAGGATCTTAAATCCACTTTTAATTTTTACAATTTTTAGAGAATAGTATTTATCGCCTTTGTTTGATGTTTTCAGACAGAATACAACCACTTCTTCTTTCTTCTAGTTTCTTGGTAACTTCTAGTGCCAGTTCTGACCATTTAACCCAGTGTCTCTGATTTAAAGTAAGACCATCCCAATTTTATTATTTTAATACAAAGTTTGCAACTAATAAGAGGGAAAACTATATTTATTTAGGAAAGTGAATTTTGTGAAATTTTGAAATCAATAGACCCATTATACGATTCATTACATCATTTAGTAAATATAAGTTTTAACAAGATGAGTGGAGAAGATGAAGTTTGAATTGCAACACTCTTAGCCAGTGTTGAAAGGGAGATTCACTAACGAAGTATGTAGGTACAGGATCGTTTAGTAAACCGATTGTGAGTTTATCATCTAGAACCTCATAGGACATTGCAGTACAATTTAAATTAACTTCTTCTTGAATATATTCTATTCTTGTAAAAGATTTCTTTATATACGCCTACTTTTTTTTATAGAATAAAAGTTTCATTTTAGTTTTATACTCTAATTAAGTTATTTTATATAAGTTTCACTAAACACATTTTTGATGTTTAAAATTAAAAATAAAACCTAATTTGTGCACTAAAATACAAATATTACTTCAAAAATGTTTGTTTTATTGACTTGGAAGTATCCTCCAGGTGCGCCCTCTCCCGTTTCAGAAACCAATGCACCCTCTGAAAGATTGAAAGATTAAAAATGACTTACCTCCGCCGATGTCTCTGCTTGGGCGAAAACTAAGAGCAAAAGCCGTATCGTGTGAAGGATGTGTAGCATGGTACTCGTATCCATGCACCAGGCTGGTAGGATAAAGTTGGGAGATGGACTCTCGAACTTGCTGCCAAACACAAATAACAAACTGTTTAAAAAGATATTTAAAAGTTTGGATTTGTTTTAAAAATCACTTTAAATAACTCAAATCATTCTTATGGAACACCCTGTAATTTATAATTGTTTTAATGACAAATGTGTACAAATGTTGAGTCTAAATGTGATTTAAAAACCTTTTTATTCTTGACATTTGTCCTATAATGCTACTCGTTAGGAGTTACAGCGTATTATGCCTAAGAAAAAATGGCTTGCAGAGTACCTAAATTATGTGTCCTGCAGCTCCCAAACAATTAATTTAAGAGAGAAAATGCAAGGAATAAATTAGTCTTAATATTGCACTGTATTCTAAAAAGACCATAAAACACAGAATGTTCCAATTTTAAAGTACGCAGCCATTTTGCAAAATGGCGGCCATTTTTAAAACAACGGATTCAATATTTTTATCATTTTATAATTGTAGATACAAATTTAAGACTTATTTATTCTCTGCATTTCCTCTCAAAACTTAGTCTTTTATGAGCTACAGGATGCAGAATGTACACCGCAAACCATTATTTTATAAATTTTCAGCTAAAAATAAAAAGATGAATAAATTATGAATAAAAAAAGGTAAACTTTCTTGGATTCCAGTAAAATAGGAGTCTGCGGAAGTTTTAGGGTCCAGTTCAATTTTTAAATGTAGCATACTACGGGTCAGGCTCAAATTAAACAATATCCAATATCTATATTTACAAATGATAAAGATAATTGAAGGATCTGTCATAATAGCTACCGTAACACTTTCTTCATAAACAAATCTCGTTTAAATTGTAGCCTAATGAAGAAACCCCTTATGAACTGTCATATTATACAGTGTTGTAAATGATTAACAGGAGTGTAATTGTTAACGATTTAACTAGTCTACATTTAAACTCAAGTTTAGAAAAGTTAGGGGTACGGTACCGGTATAAAAGTAGCCTATGTTTCATATTATGTTTATAAGTTGTTTGGTAAAAATGTTGTGTATTGTGTTGTGTATTGTGTGCCTATAACGAATTCATATTATAACTATACTTATTTTCTGTAATCGCGGCACTAACGAGATTATCACCAACGATCTTGGTGACGTCATAATTATTGTGGCTACATTCATTAATAACATCATGATAATCTAAACTTCGTGAAGAATCAACCAAAACAAGAAAAAAAAAACAATGGGCTAGGTTGGTCCTTGCATATTGCGACAGTAGGAAGATAATGTATAATTAAGAAAATGTGAAATATATCGCAAAAGCTTTACGAAGATACTTTCTTATAGTCTAATGCAATATTAGAGCATTATTCACGCCCAAAAAACTACACAATACAAATCCACACATACACATAAAAATTGGGAATAAAAATATCCCAAACAAATATAGGTAATTTAGAATTCTTAGTATTTTAAAGCTAAAACGAGTCAATCTCGTTAAACAGTGAATGTTCTGAAACATTTTTAATGTACAGTGCACTGTAGGTACAGCCCTGCCCATTTTATCCGCTCCATACTATTCTGGTACACAGCTGACCGTTCCAGTAGTTCGGAGTCCCAGAAAAAAAATTTATGGTCTCTTCACTATCCACCAAAATTGCTCCCGAGACACATAGTTTGGAGACTGCTGCCTTAGACCGCTTGGCCATTGATCAGGCACAACTGTCTACCGCGATTACAACAACTAGATATTGGTCAACCAAAGCCCAAGTGTATCGGTTCTAATCTTAACTCCTAGGCTACAGAAAATGTCAGATTAGCTTTCAAGCGTATTTGTTGAGTCGATGTTGAGTAAATGGGAGAGGGGCCATTTTTTGTTTGGAACAGCCATGGCTACTAAAGTTGGTTATCCGCTAGAGTGCACTTTTAAGTTAGTGTGTTCTATCTGTCAAATGTACCCTAAACATAAAATATAATACAAAAGGTTAAAAAATGTATTTTTTTTTCATTTTAAGAGCAATGGGAAAATATTACATGGTGATCTAACTTAGAAGTAAAGTTAGCCTAAATAATTCTGCACAACCTCATAACATTTTTAAGGAGAAATCTCATTTGTCCGTGATAGGTAAGTTATATAATTTACCTTCTATTTGTCTGATTGCAATTTTTACAATAAATAATTCATTAAAATTGTCAGTTTTATTCCCTAGTTAGAATAGAAATAACTTAACATTATGTTTAGATTTAACAAGTAGGCTAGGCCTAGCTAACTTACTTAACATAGGTTTGACTCCAAAGGGTTGAAAAGCGTTTTTCAGGTCAAATAGACAACTCATTTGATAAATTACTATTTAAAAAAAAACTAGCCTTTTTAAGAAAGACCCACTATTATTCTCTATTATTCATAATTTAAGTTTGTTAAGTTTGCCTATTTTAAAAAAAATTATTTTAAACCTGTTAACCCTCCGAGTGTTATTTGTCGCTGCAGCGACTCACAAACACTGTTTACGGCGAAGGCTCTATGACTGACAAAATCGGATTGAACTGGATCGAGTTAGGTATCGTTTTATTTTACAGATTCAGAGCTTTCTCTGGAGGTCTGTCTCTAAGCGCTATTCATTTTAGTTCCAAAAATATTGTAGCAGACAGCTGACGTGCGTATTTGTAAACAGCTTGGTTATCCTCGGACCGATGACTGATGTGTTTTATTACGTTTATCATTGTTTTAGTGTTAAAAATCAAAAGTAGTGATATACGTGGTGCATTATAAGAAGATTTAAGTGATTTTGAAGGGCTGGTTGATGATCCTGAAGAAGTAGGTAGTGATATTGATGTAAATTATCAGCCAGATTTCTAGCTATGGTTAGGCTATGCATTCTTAGCTAAACGCTATGTACTGAAATCTGTTTTTTGCCCATAACTTATTTATTTGCAAATCTACTTCCTTATATTATTATATATTTGTAATCCTCATAAAATTTAGAACAAAGTGGCTATTTTCAAATATTTATAGGCCTATAATTTATACAATTTCATTGAGCGCAAACTTATTTTTTTTTTAATTTTTCAAAATATTATTTTTTTACCTAAAAAATTTTTTTGAAACAAATGTTCCTTATGTTCTATGTATAATATTGAAGCCCATGATTTTCCAAACAAAATGGTATATAAGTAGAACAGTATAATGAACATTGTTTTCAAACTTCTCAGATCCGTTTTAATAAAACCTTGCAAATGAGCAAAAAATAGGCAGACATTAAGGCCAAAACAAGGGACACTCGGAGGGTTATATGTTAAACTAAGGGCAGCCTATATTTTGGAATTTTCATGTCAAATTTTATTAATTATAAGTACCTATTGCATCTTATATCTTTTTACAATAATAATGACAATGTCAATTACAATAATGTATTGTTTAAAGACTGAATAAATGACTATTCAATGACTATTTGATAAATTACTATTGCGAATGAAATGAAATAAAATGCTGAATTTGATCAAAACATAAGTTAGGCCTATCCCTGAGCGAAGTACAACAGTTTGCTTTTATTCCATGAGAATAACATAAAAATTTTGTACGTAACACGAGTTATTGTGCTTAAAGACGCATTTCCTAAAACATGGGAAGTAGGCCAAAAGCTAAGTTTAGGCCTACATTTATTTATCCTGCGTGGAAACCGAAAGTTCATATAGGTCTTCCTACCATTATTAAGTTATGGATGTGCAGCTACACAACCAAAAGGGACCATATACAGTGACATACGTCGATTAAGTTAGGAGTTTGGTACAGGTGAGATGCATCAAGTGTAACTTAGGCTTAGATTTGTTACAGACTAAGGGGCTATTTGGTCTGACTTTTCAAAACAGTTCTTCTAACTTTTAAGTTAATTCTCAGGCAAAAAAGTTGACTTACGGGCTTTTATTCTCTCAGAACTCGGACCTTCTCCAGCTTTCTAACATAACTTAACCATCCATATGATTTAATTTAACCCTCCGAGTGTCCATAGTTTAGGCCTTAATGTCCACCTATTTTTGGCCCCTTTGCAAGGTTTTATTAAAACGGATCTGAGAAGCTTAAAACAATGTTAATTCTAATGTTCTATATACCATTTTGTTTGGAAAATCATGGGCTTCAATATTATATATAAAACATAAGGAACATTTTTTCCAAAAAAAAATTTTTAGGTAAAAAAAAAATATAATTTCGAAAATTTTCAAAAAAAAAATCAGTTCGCGCTCAATGAAATTGTAAAAATTATAGGCCTATAAATATTTGAAAATAGCCACTTTGTTCTAAATTTAATGAGGATTACAAATATATAATCATATAGCGAGGTAAGTTATCAAATAAATAAGTTATGAGCGAAAAACGGATTTCAGTACATAGCGTTTAGCTAAGAATGCATAGCCTAACCATAGCTAGGAATCTGGCTGATAATTTACATCAATATCACTACCTACTTCTTCAGGATCATCAACCAGCACTTCAAAACCACTTAAATCTTCTTATAATGCACCACGTATATCACTACTTTTGATTTTTAACACTAAAACAATGATAAACGTAATAAAACACATCAGTCATCGGTCCGGGGGAACCTAGCTGCTTACAAATACACGCACGTCAGCTGTCTGCTACAATATTTTCGGAACTAAAATGAATAGCGCTTAGAGACAGACCTCTGGAGAAAGCTTAGAATATTACGGAAAGAACGATACCTAACTCGATCCAGTTCAATCCGATTCAGTCAGTCATAGAGCCTTCGCCGTAAACAATGTTTGTGCGTCATAAAAATGACGCGTGACCCTACACAAAGTGTGTTGTGCGTCATTATTATGACGCGTGACACTCGGAGGGTTAATTTTTTAGAAAAGTAGCCTATGTTACCTTTTTAACTGAATTAGTCTAGGTGTAGGCCTAACCTAAAAAGTAACCTGCATTTTATAGGGGATTCTGATCTTTAGCTTTACCAAGGTATAAGTTAGGAATTGAGTAGGCTGGGTCATGTTTTGGGCATTCCTAAAATAGCAAACAATGAACGCTTTGTTAAATTAATTTTATAAATGTTTTATTTTGTATGTAGGCCTAGGCCTAGGCATTTAGATTTAAATGCACAGTATGCCTAGGGTATTCCTAAGAAGAGATGCCTGTGGAGGTTTATAAATTAAGAATATGCTACGACTAGGCTATATAAGGTAAATTACCAAAACGACATCAGTGGAACTATGAGCCTTCATGAGATCTTCCTTGGAGAATACCAAAGATGAGAAGTCTATTTCTTGAGCCATTTTCTTCATGGAATTCTCAAGAACCATATTTTTAACAATTTTATCCTGAATTGTGCTGTCGTTACTTTCATTTCCAGTCTCAAATCCAGAATCAGCAGCGGACGCCATCGCGTAAGTAAATATTAGTAAATACTAGTAAAATTGCCTAAGAAGTTTTTGTTTAGAATTTAGCACTATTAGGTGTGAGGTGAAATACTCCGTCAATTTAAATAGCTAACACTAATATTACAATGTTGACTGATTAAGATTAAACATGACAACGTTCACAGATCACAATCACAATACAAAATACAAAACGAAAACAATATGAACCAAGAATAGCAATACACAGACTTACACAGTAGCCAGTTGTAGCCGTAGCCTTCAGATTCAGCAATCAGAATCGAATCAGAATCAACAGCAGACTAGACTAGGAGGACTAGACAACGTCAGTCAAGTCACTCAGTCAGACCAGTCCAGTGCAGTCCTGTATTTTCTGATCTCTGTAGACTGTGTACAGGTACAGTTAGAGCTGGGTTTTCCTAGGCGCTGAAGAGGAGTGCGGAAAAGAGATTAACATGGTATTCCGCTCCGATTCTAGGAAAACCCAGCTTAAGCCCCCCACACACTACCAGACCAGACCTCCAGACCAGACCGTCTGGCTGCAACCAGACCGTCTTGGACGGCTCTACACACTCCCAGACCAGGGGCCCTATTTTTGAAATGGTTGACTGTTGAGTTGAGTGTCGAGTCATTCTATTTCCAATCGTTTCGTATTTTTGAAACGGTTGACGGTGGACTTATACAACCAAAACTACTCAACACCTATCGAGCTGTTGAGTGGAGGTTGACTGCACTTTCTTCTTCCTCTCTTTCGGCAAAAAATTACTCTTTTTGAGACGACGCCATATTGTTTTGTTATTGCTTTAATTTACTAATTGCGATTTAGAGGTTATGTATTTGTTGTCAATGTATTAGCACCCAATTATGCGATTGTTTTCTGTAGAATAATTGCATTTTAATTTTATTTACTGTGTCAATACTAGACTATTTAATCAAGGGTTTTATTCTTGTTGGAATGTTTGAAATAGACTAGGCATACTAATTGAACTTATTATAAGATAATTATTGTTATTAGACCTATGATATAAGGTATTAAAGATTGTGGTAGAGAGAAACAATATCATAGTTTGTTTCAATACTATTCACCTAATAAAGGGATCAAATTAATTTAAGTTACGATATGCTTCCAGTGCAATGGCAAATAGCCGCTTTAACCTAAATAAAAAACAATTAAAATTAACATAAAACAAACCGATGAAGGAAACTAAAATAAGGTGATGTGTTCCGAAATAGAGACGAAGAAAGCAAATAATAATGTATCTAGGATGAGTGTAGGACCTAAAGTAAAGTGCAGCCTATGCCTAAACTTATAACTAGCTAGTAGCTACATCCTAAAACAAACATCCATAGTAAATTTTATTTTTTATACTTAAGTTTATTACTTTATTTAGTTTACTTTAGTTTATTACTTAAGTTAAGGTACTTTGCAATCACTAAGATTAAGCAAGACATAACCTCAATCTCAATCTCTCAAGAACGGAGTTGACAGTTTACCTCAGTGTCTCGAAATATGGCAGAGGCAGATTGAGATTAGCTCAGCTGCCAGATTTTAGAGTAAGAAGAGGTTAAATCGAAGTCCGCAAGAACTCTGCATTGTGATTGGTTCAAAATGACGTCATCTGAATTTTTGACGGTCGTATGCTCTACATTTCCACCACGAGTCTCTCAACTAGTGATTCCCAACTCGCTTCCCAACTGTTGGGTTTCAAAAATACCAAATCATGTTGTTGGTTGAGTTGAGTGCTGACGATTGACTCAACTGTCAACCATTTCAAAAATAGGGCCCCAGACGGTCCTAATTCGTAATTGAGAGACCGTGGTGAGAACTCCAACAAATGGATGAAGATTGTCACGATGGTCGGCCGTCTGACAGACAACGCTACACACTTACAGACCAGACAAAAATAGTGGTGGGGGAACCTCAGACACGATAAGACAAGTGCCAGACGCCAGACCAGACGGTCTGGTCTGGCGTCTGGCACTTGTCTTAAACGTGTGTGGGGCTGTCTGCAGACCAATTTTCTCGGACCAGGGGCCCTATTTTTGAAATGGTTGACTGTTGAGTTGAGTGTCGAGTCATTCTATTTCCAATCGTTTCGTATTTTTGAAACGGTTGACGGTGGACTTATACAACCAAAACTACTCAACACCTATCGAGCTGTTGAGTGGAGGTTGACTGCACTTTCTTCTTCCTCTCTTTCGGCAAAAAATTACTCTTTTTGAGATGACGCCATATTGTTTTGTTATTGTTTTAATTTACTAATTGCGATTTAGAGGTTATGTATTTGTTGTCAATGTATTAGCACCCAATTATGCGATTGTTTTCTGTAGAATAATCGCATTTTAATTTTATTTACTGTGTCAATACTAGACTATTTAATCAAGGGTTTTATTCTTGTTGGAATGTTTGAAATAGACTAGGCATACTAATTGAACTTATTATAAGATAATTATTGTTATTAGACCTATGATTTAAGGTATCAAAGATTGTGGTAGAGAGAAACAATATGTTTGTTATTCAATATGTTACAATATGTTATGTTTGTTTCAATACCATTCGCCTAATAAAGGGATCAAATTAATTTAAGTTACGATATGCTTTCAGTGCAATGGCAAATAGCCGCTTTAACCTAAATAAAAAACAATTAAAAATAACATAAAACAAACCGATGAAGGAAACTAAAATAAGGTGATGTGTTCCGAAATAGAGACGAAGAAAGCAAATAATAATGTATTTAGGATGAGTGTAGGACCTAAAGTAAAGTGCAGCCTATGCCTAAACTTATAATTAGCTACACCCTAAAACAAACATCCATAGTAAATTTTATTTTTTATACTTAAGTTTATTAGGCTACTTTATTTAGTTTACTTTAGTTAATTACTTAAGTTAAGGTACTTTGCAATCGCTAAGAAAAATAAAAATAAAACATAACCTCAATCTCAATCTCTCAAGAACGGAGTTGACAGTTTACCTCAGTGTCTCGAAATATGGCAGATTGAGATTAGCTGCCAGATTTTAGAGTAAGAAGAGGTTAAATCGAAGTCCGCAAGAACTCTGCATTGTGATTGGTTCAAAATGACGTCATCTGAATTTTTGACGGTCGTATGCTCTACATTTCCACCACGAGTCTCTCAACTAGTGATTCCCAACTCGCTTCCCAACTGTTGGGTTTCAAAAATACCAAATCATGTTGTTGGTTGAGTTGAGTGCTGACGATTGACTCAACTGTCAACCATTTCAAAAATAGGGCCCCAGGGGCCCTATTTTTGAAATGGTTGACTGTTGAGTTGAGTGTCGAGTCATTCTATTTCCAATCGTTTCGTATTTTTGAAACGGTTGACGGTGGACTTATACAACCAAAACTACTCAACACCTATCGAGCTGTTGAGTGGAGGTTGACTGCACTTTCTTCTTCCTCTCTTTCGGCAAAAAATTACTCTTTTTGAGACGACGCCATATTGTTTAGTTATTGCTTTAATTTACTAATTGCGATTTAGAGGTTATGTATTTGTTGTCAATGTATTAGAACCCAATTATGCGATTGTTTTCTGTAGAATAATCGCATTTTAATTTTATTTACTGTGTCAATACTAGACTATTTAATCAAGGGTTTTAATCTTGTTGGAATGTTTGAAATATACTAGGCATACTAATTGAACTTATTATAAGATAATTATGGTTATTAGACCTATGATTTAAGGTATTAAAGATTATGGTAGAGAGAAACAATATCATAGTCTGTTTCAATACCATTCACCTAATAAAGGGATCAAATTAATTTAAGTTACGATATGCTTCCAGTGCAATGGCAAATAGCCGCTTTAACCTAAATAAAAAACAATTAAAAATAACATAAAACAAACCGATGAGATGAAGGAAACTAAAATAAGGTGATGTGTTCCGAAATAGAGACGAAGAAAGCAATTAATAATGTATTTAGGATTGTAGGACCTAAAGTAAAGTGCAGCCTATGCCTAAACTTATAATTAGCTACACCCTAAAACAAACATCCATAGTAAATTTTATTTTTAATACTTAAGTTTAGCCTATATAAGTTAAGGTACTTTGCAATCTCTAAGATTAAATTAAGCAAGACATATAACCCATTATAACCTCAATCTCTCAAGAACGGAGTTGACAGTTTACCTCAGTGTCTCGAAATATGGCAGATTGAGATTAGCTGCCAGATTTTAGAGTAAGAAGAGGTTAAATCGAAGTCCGCAAGAACTCTGCCTGCATTGTGATTGGTTCAAAATGACGTCATCTGAATTTTTGACGGTCGTATGCTCTACATTTCCACCACGAGTCTCTCAACTAGTGATTCCCAACTCGCTTCCCAACTGTTGGGTTTCAAAAATACCAAATCATGTTGTTGGTTGAGTTGAGTGCTGACGATTGACTCAACTGTCAACCATTTCAAAAATAGGGCCCCAGACTGTCTGCGTGTCTGTTGGTTGAACCCTCAGACCACAGAAGGTCTGAGGTTCCCCCACCACTATTAAATAAATATTTGTCTGGTCTGTGAGTGTGTAGCGCTGTCTGTCAGACGGCAGACCGTCGAAACAGTCTTTATCTATTTGTTGGAGTTCTCACCACAGTGTCTCAATTTCGAATGTTGGAATGTCTGGTCTGGGAGTGTGTAGAGCAGTCCAAGACGGTCTGGTTGCAGCCAGACGGTCTGGTCTGGTAGTGTGTGGGGGGCTAACTTTTATCAGATTTTTCCCCATTTTCTGTACTTCAATCCACTTTGGGCTGGCTTTCTGAAAAGTGAAACCACAACCACCTACTGTAAAAATGTGAAAGATTTTATTTATTTACCTACCAACACCTCACTAAAGAGTACCTATCTGAATTAGGGAGTACAAATAGATACAATAAAAAACTAAGTTAAATATAGAATAAGCCCTTTTCCAATGTTGTCAAACAGGGGCCCATTTCATAATAAAGTACAAACTAATATTATTAGTAAATCAGCTGATCGCCCAATGCAAATCTAAAGGAAATTACAAGTTACAAGTTGTAACTTGTAGTTTATAATGGAATGGGCCCCAGGAGTTTTCTACATTCTTTGCTCCACACCTCCTTTAAGTCCTGAAATTTTCTCTTGACCCCCATGTACATATTTTTAAATTTAAGCATTGTAATCACTCTGTGTTATTAATTATTTATATTGGAAAGGGGAGCGACGAGCGAGCTGGTCGACTGGTTGAGCTTGAGGCTTTGGAGCCCAAGGTCTCGGGTTCAAATCCCTCCAATCACCAATGGAACTTAGCGTTTTAGAATGTGAAGGTGGGACTAAAAAACTATATGGATCAGATAATAATTTGATTTGATGTTTTCATCCTAAATTAATTTTTCATTATTTTGTACTTTATTTATTATTTTTCTAGGAGTCCTCACACCCCCAGGTTGAGAACCGCTGTTGTAAACTGTGTTCTTCGGTACAAAGTTAGATTTTGAAAATTTATTCTTCATAGATCGAAACAATAGTTTTGCATCCCCCATAACACCCATGGTCGCGTTAAGGGTCAGTGGAGCCCTGGGCAAACCCAAAAGCAGTCCCCCTTTTTTCCTAGTGCAGGCAGGCGTTGGTTGTGGGGCACCCAGTGGGCGCCCCCAAAATAACACTTGGGGACCGTTTAAAAAAGTGGGCCTGATAATGTCTGTGTTTTTAAATACTTTACACAATTTCACAATTACACAAACGACTTAACTGCTTATACACTGGTCCTTACTACAATGCTGTAGGTTTGCGGATGACGGCCGACTTGTCACTGTCCATAAAAAAAAGGAAGACCTTTAGAAACCGCAAATCCTTCATTGCTGTTAAGTTAGCTCACCACAAACTTACAATCCTCTAGTAAAAGACTGTGGCTTTGATGCATGGCAACAATTGCACAGAGACAATCTATATATATAAAAGGCAAAGCCCTCACTGACTCACTCACTCATCACTAATTCTCCCACTTCCCACTTACCTAGGAGGCTGAAATTCGGTACACCGATTCTTTGGGCATTAAATAGGAAAACTAAGTAGTTTTTATTCTGATCGGGCTTTCGGGCTCTGCCCCAGTGGCTCTGGAGTTTCCCATGTTAACCTTATGATTTTTCATATTTAAAAGGAATTAATGAATCTTAACAGCTGTTTCAATTAAACAAGTTGGTTCAGTTCTATGATGTTCAATTGCATTAAAGTTACAAGGATTACCAACAGAGTGCAGCACTATTATTTTTTTTTAATTTATGACAACAGTTAATTTGCAACCAAAAGGTGAGTGAGCGAACAACTTCAACCTGGAGGCGAGTTAGCGTAGCGACGAGCTAACCTAAATGCAAGTGAGCGCAGCGAACGAGCTCCAACTCAAAGGTGAGTGAGCGTAGCGAACGAACTTCAACCAGGACGGGATTGAGCCATGCGAATACTTATGAAGTTAAATGGGGCAAAGCCTGCGGGTACAGCTAGTACATCATAAATTAATTAATGCAACAACTGTTTTAGTAGGCCGACCTGATGGCCTTGTATTAGAGACCATGCCACTTAAATGTATCAAAATCAAATGTATGCCTCCTTTTAAATAAACAGCTAGTGTATTATGTTTAAAGTGTTATTAGACAAATTATTGTTATTTACTTTCTGTCAATTGATCTGTAGACATTGTAAATAAATACCTTTCAGTAGCAGTAGGCTTAACTTTAATCTGATTTATTAATTGCTTTGGCAGGGTAAGAGAAAATCTATCTTGTTACTTAGATAATTTGTAAACGTTAACAATTTACAAACTTTATGTTTTGTGACAAAATTTAGCTAAATGGTGCAGTTAAAATATTGACAAAACAGTTAGTTCATCACATGGACTAAAAGTATATTTTCTATTCTTCTATTCGGCTTTGTCTCAGCCGTTAAAAGTATACAAGGAGAAGAGTCACTTTGAGCCATAAATATGACATAAATATTAAAAGTTTACAAATAATTTAAAATTAACTAAATCGCCAGACAGTTTTGAGTTTGTGACACGGAAGGGGTAAAGGTTATAGAAATAAACACACAACCAAAGTAAAAAAAAACACATAACTATTATTTAAAATGTTTATTTCCTGATAGTATGAGAACAAAGTTGATTCCATGAATATAAAATAAATATAATGTAACAGAACACAACTACCAGCTACATTGTTTTCCATTTCTTTTAATTGTACCTAAAAATATCACAACTATCAACTATATACAAAAAACGATACCAAACAAACCAAAATAACTAAACTCAATTACTCTATGATATTTACATCCCTTTATAGTACAGTAAATTATATTGAAAAATTAGTGGTATTTACATGTTAATCAAATAATCATCAAATGATATTACAAGTACTTTCCTATCAAATTAAACTAATATTAACTTGTATAATTTCCTATTACTTGCATAATAACTTAATTTGACAATATTGGGCTACTATAAGGTTTGTAGTAAATGCTTCAATGGATAAAAGCAAAAAAAAGCAACATTAAGGGTATAATCAAAGTTACGAGTTTATAGTTGAAAAATGAAATCAAGGATGTACACAAAAAATACTCTTTTTATGATGAAATTTGTGGGAATATATACTTTTTAGGAACATTAAATTACCTGAAACTAAGTCAAAGCAAATAGAACTGACGAGGTTTTGAAATAGACCAGATGTTATTTTTGAACCGCCAGTTCTGTTTGAGTTGACTATAGTAGTTTCTTTATTTAGTTTGGACAATGCATTAATTGGTATGTTTACGTTAATGTCTTACCACTTAATAAGTTTATTGTTCAATCCAGTGGAATTTTTTCGGCAGACAAATACAATGAGGTTTAACTATCAGAACATCAAATTTTGAAAATGTTGGTTGCTGGTTTTGTTTTAGAAGGATGTTTTCAGGACTTAATTGCCACCAAGTCATTAATGAATGATACTTTCTAACAAAAGGTTAATATTAGAGAGTAAAGAATCAACATTTCGATGATTATTTAACAAAAGGAAATGCCACTGGAACACTGACACGATCAAAAGATTAGGTAGTCATATTCTTTCCAGGTCATAGGTCAGTATTAGGATGAAATAATTACGTTAGAGTTTGCTTGGTTGGTTTTATTCTTATGAATCTAAAAAATTTTGATGGGTACAAAGAAACGCCTGATTGGAAGTATGGCTCACAATTTAATAATGTCCAGTCGACTTTCACTCAAGCCAGCATATTTTTTTAGGTTGGTCTCTCCGACCAACTCAGAGACTAGGGAGTTCCTTATGAGTCGCTAACCAGACCTGACCAATACAGGATTCAAACCCATGCTAAATCACTCCGACCAAAGTGACAACGCATACTTTAAGTCTCGAAAGGTCATATCGACCATCAATAGCAACATAGCCGAACCTTCACTTGCGAGTACGACTGACTACGCAAGTATTAAGTGGTCTTGTGCTGCAATCTGTAATTCAATGGAACTACACTTGGGATTTGGGTTTACCAGTATAGGAAGTTTGACCGTTGAGTCTGACCACATCCAAGTGGTTTGACAAAGAGTAAATACAGGGTTTGAATCCTTTATCAGTCAGGTGAAAGTTGCAGCGTCCACCAGTCTGTGGAAGGGCTTTGGCGGGAGAGATTCAACTAACGGCAGATGGTTTGAGTGAAAGTAGAAAGGGTGATTTTTTGTGAGCTGTACCTCTAATCTTGCATTTCACAAATTTTTACTCATCCTTACATTGAGCAAGTCCACTGAGAACTAGTTTTATGTGAATTAATACTTCAAAATTAAGCCAAGTGACTTAAGTGATTTAACAAAATGGAATTGTTCAGCCAGCTTAACTGATAAATTTAGTCTAGGGGGTAATAAATCCTAATATAGAACTTACAGAGAGAAGGTTGAAAAAAATCATTCACACAATCATTTGTCTCTAAAACCTTTTGTTTGAAGTCCTATAAGTGTTATTTTTGTGACCTTCATTTTTCTTATCTATTAACCCCTGGCTGTTATCTCAGGTAAGCTAGCTTTTGCCAGGTTATAGAGCTCACATGGCAATCAAAAATTTGTCAGTTTGATCCTGAAAAAAGTCGATAGCTTTTGGATAAAAACTAGACCCAGCTGTTGATCTCTGGGCTTTGAATGAAAAGTCCTGAACAAAGTGGAAGTAACAACTAATAACACAAAACTCAAATAAAAACATTGGCCGATTTGGGTAGCTAAACAAAAATGTTACCACACAATTGTCTTGAATAATAACCTAAATAAGAAAAAAGTTTGATATTAAAACCAAAATGTACTTTCACTTAAATAAGAAAATATCAAGTGATACACGTAGGCGGCATAGAAATGCATTTATAATATGAAAGTTGAGCTGATATAGGTACATATTAAGATAAGTTTACATTACCTTCATACAAGATTCCCAAGCATTTTGTTGACAAGTATTATTTTCAGTTATTCAACCTAATTATACACTATGGTAGCACCCTTAAAATGTTCAAACAAATAAACCTGGACTGGTATTTTATTATGATCAATTCACTTTCAAGGACAAATTATATAGCATTTTATGTAAAAAATAATCTATGCATATTAAAGAAAATAGTTATGAGTTTAGACACATATAAAAAAAACTTGTACACACGTTACAAATATAATAGTTAGTTGTTATAATATAGTTAATTGAGAAAGGAACAATAGAACAGTGAAACACCAAAAAATAATAACCCCTAAGATTTTAAACTCAATTTAATATACTAAAATTAATGATTTCACAGTGTTAATTACAGACTAAACAAATTGCCTTTTATTCCTAGTTCTGAAAATTTATCTAACAAATCAGAAGTCTAAAACTATCAAGAGGTAAAAACTTTGGTAACTTTCAATATACAAATCAGCGAAGAGTTAATTCCTTGCACATTTCACTATACTGTCCAATTTTAAATGTGTTTCAAATAAACATTTATATTATTATAGTTTAAAAAATATTGTCTTGTTAAAACTTACATTTGCACTAATCTTCAGTACGATAAAGATGACCATTTAGCCTATTTTAACTCAGTAATACCTTTACGTAAAACAATATGACTGAAAGAGTTACTTAATATGTACATTTTCAACTGTTGTTGTTACAACATAAGTTTTATCGAAAAACTTTTAAATAGCTTCAAGCTTATTCATACTAATTGGCCGACTACTGAAACGGTACAAAATTTATTTCCTATTACTTTATCCCTAATCAACGTCTCCAAGGATTGTAGTGTTGGTGTCTGTTGTTGTTATTTTGGTACGTACGGTGGTGGTTGTTGCTGTAGGTTCGGTAGAAATGGTGTCTATCTTTGTACCAACCGTTGTTTTTGTGGTTTTGATGCTCCTGGAAGTAATTCCGTCTTCCGTTAATCTCTCTGTCGTTTTTCTGGTAATAGTTGTTTTTCACTTTCTTCACCTGGGTGTAAAGAAATTTATTAGTTAATACTAACAATAAGTTTTAAGAGCATGTTAAAACACACAGATAACTCTTGATAGCTCGACATGTATGGGCCTGAACTGACCCAAATGTATGTTGGGTAATGTTGGGTAATGTATGTTGGATTACTTGACCCAAATAAAAGTCAATTCATGAATCCAGGTTATACTTCTCTATTATCAGACATGCGTTGATCAGTTTAGACAATACTTTACATAAAAAAGATGAAAAAATATATTTTATTTTGAGAAAATTGTGTCTTTTGAGGAAAATAAAATAAGGTTATATTATTTTAAGCTCAGTTCATTTCATCATATTTATTTTAAAGTAGCTTACTTTAACTCCACATGATAACACAAGATTACATTTTGCAAATAAGTTTTGTGACAAACTAACTTATTAATACTGCATTAGGTCAAATCATAGCCTCCTCTAATACAAAACCGGGCCAAGACAAAAGTGGTAACGTTGCAGACCCGGCATACTGTAACAACTGTTACACTAATAACAGAGCTTAAGCGACATGTTTATGTTTACAAGTTTTTTAATCCTGTAGTACCATGTGAGTGCGACATGGCCACACACCAACGCCGTGGCCATGTATTAGAGGAGGTCAAATCCATTAGGCCTATATTAAAGAGCTCGAGTTTTTCCTAAAGTTTGATTTGGAAATCTCAGGCTTGCACACCTTTACTCTAAATGAATAGTACATCTCGAGAAAACGAATTAAGTATGGCTGACTGAGTTTTGTAGATAAATCTCTAAACAGCTCTAACAGACTAGAAACACAAGTAAAAAATTTGAGAACACATGACTACTAGTATTTACCTTCCCGTGATCCATCTCATCTTCATACATCTGATCGTAGGAGCGTTTACGTTGTTGTAGCCTGTCCATTTCTGCTTCTTCGTCTACTTGCGTTCTACCCCCATTCCATGTTGTTACTGAAAACATATTTCCTATGAAAACTTGTGACCCAGTTTCCTATTAACAATGATTCGAACCATAAAACTACACGCTCATCATGAATTAATTTAGTAGAGGTATCAATAGCTAAGGGTATGAGAACCTTAAGTAAAATAAAAATGTAATTTGCTCAGTTTAATGAAATGGAATATTTTAACTAGACTTACCATTTCTACCATAGCCCTGGTGTGAATTTTTCTTGAGGTAGTCAACTGTGGAATTGTTTCTACAGCCGTCCCAACTCTTTCCGTTAGATATTCGTCCATTTTCCACAGATCCGTTAGTGGCCTTCTTCGGTTCATCACCGTTACTCATTGTGCTATGGCCGTTCTCCACAGGTTTTTTGTGATCTTTACCATTGATGCCATTATGTGATTCTTCCACTTTCAGCTGACTAGGTTCTCCGTTTTTTTCTGCGGATCTGAACAAAACATTAAATTGCAAAATTATAAGTGAATGTTAAGAAAATGGTCAACAATCCTTTTTATAGCAATCCAGGGGACCCACTGTCGACTCTCGCGGACGTCTGCTGAAGGAAGAACAGATTAAAAACCTTTAAGTGAATTTCCAAATTTCATTTTTAACATGGTTGAGATTAGCCATTCAAAACATACAACAATGCCTGTGAGATAATGTTATTATTATTCATTCATTCAAGGCATGCAAATTGGAAAAAGTTTGAAATGGGAGCTGGAGCAAGATGTATTAAGTTGACCGTCATTATATATTGATGTCTAGATAGAATTATTATTGTAATGATTGGGTAAATCACACCATGTAAAGAAACTAGTGGAAGTACCATAGTTATTGGTTGTGAAGTTAGGTATACACTTGTCTCCAGTCTCATGATTATTATGATAAACTGTAAATAATTCCTCAAGTATTTTAGCAATCTTGTGTTTGTTTTCCAGTTTTCTTCTTCTAAGGTAACATGTTGTGCTATGTCTTTAATAATAGTATTTCAGGAAAGTTAACTTGACTTAGTGTGTGTTTGTACGATACTAGTTACTAGGTTAGCAATTTATGTTTAAAAAATCCATCCATATCAATGTCAGCATTTATCAAATTATAAAAATGAAAATGTTTACTTTGATTGAGAGCTTGGAGTCACAAATGCAACAAAAATCAATGCACCATTGTCTCCAAAAGATTTTTCTTGTTAAATAAAGCAATTTCCTTACATGTGGGTGCTATGTACAATCTGTGTGGCGAAGAATGTTTTTGTACATTATTTAAACACTGACTATGGTAGGTCATAATAATTAAAGGTAAGAAAAATTAGGTTTTCCTTGACTAGTTGTTGTTTTACTTACTGCCTTATATATCTTACATCTTATTGCCTTACATCCTTACATTTTTAACTTCTTAAATACTTAACGAGAAAGATACAGCTTAGAAGGCCTAATCAGTTTGAAAAAATCAAGAAACAAAATATCTGTTGCCTTGTGGAGGAAACAGCTTAAATGAGAAAGTGTTTTTTCTTTGGTTTCAGCTGTTAACTTGGAAAAATAAAAGATCCTTTCTCAGGTAGGTACCATAACCTTTATCCCTAAAAAATCATAATGAGCCTCTCGCTTTCCCAGAAATACAGTTGCATAATACTTTTATAGACGTTAAATACCTTGTTGCCACGTGTAATTCCAGGGATTATGTTGGCAAAAAAAGAAATAGTATGATTGTTAAGTAGTCCAGGGAGCAGCACCTCAAAATGAAGGAGTTAAATAAGTAAGTTAAAAAAACTTCAGGAATAGGAATTCAAATAACTGTAAAAAAATAAAAAATATAAACTTGGTGTAGAACCTAATAAACTATTAAAAACAAATTAAAAATATTTTTGGTTCAGAGTGGCGTTGTCTTAAAAAAAATGGGTGTTCTAAATTTTGTTTATAAGTCCTAGAGTTTTTATGGCGAAGGGTGAGAACAATTGGACCCGTGTGCCACAGAAGATGTGCAAAAAAGCTTGGCCTCGACAAGGATGAGGCATAGGTCTAAAAATAACTAAATGCCTGAGATTGTGCCCTGAGGGGTTTAGGTCACATTTTGACCTGACCTGAAGAAATGTACCAAACAATCCCAGGTCTGTGTCCAACAGAATAGAGGGTACCGCAGTCTCACACTACATCAGGCTGGCCACCTGTGTGCGTAACAGCATTTTCCCTACTCTTCCTCAAAAAGGTTTTATTCATTAAACAGTTGGCATATCATAGATAAGTGTGTATTGCCAAACCCCTAAAATAGAAATGATTTTATGTATTTATTAAAAAGAAAAGAATAAGAAAATATTTTTATGTAGTTCGCTAGTCAAAAGTCATGATATCAATTGTGTTTTGGCCTATATATAATTTTATCAAGTTAAATTTCAGTTTTAATGTCATTAAAGTGAAATTTTATTTCTGCATCTAAAATAAAGTTTTAAACTCATCTGAGGACAAATGTTTTAGACGAGCAAGGAACATCAGTCGGTTGGCCTACACGTTTCCCATTAATGGTTGTAATGTTAGGATCACACTTTTTAAGGAGTTTCTCATCTTACGTTATATTCTTGTTTTATATTACTACCTACTAGTAGACTTTCTTCAATAAGCAATACATGCTACTTTTTCATATTTAAATAAAAACACTCTTGATGTAAAAAAAACTTAAACTAACAGCAACCAACAAAGAGAAAGCGTTAGTGACGTGATTAATAGTTTTACTGACAAATATTATTTTAAAATTTGATCTAGCATTAGAGTATTTTAATTTATATGAATGTATTATTTCAACAACAAATTTTACACAAGTGCCCATGTTAAAACACACAACTTTCCAGTCACCAAATGAACATGTTTGCTTACTTGGCAGCAGCTGTGTCAACAGAGATGACGGCCCAGTTTTGCGGAGGGTTGTACAATGAGTTTGCCACGCTCCTTTTCTCTACCACTTCCGTCACGTGCCAACCGTTCACCACCACTTCACTTTTACACTCATCACTTTTACGAGTACTAGTTTTGTTCGGCGACGCGCCGATCGAACAGTTACTAAATTTCACAAAACTTGAACTTTCTTTCGCAAATCCGTTTTTTATCGGCGACGAGGTAGGCAGGGTGACGGCGGCTTTTTTGGAAGTGGCCGGTTCAGACTCACTGTCGCTCGACTCTGTTGAGTAGGGGACGAGACTCTTGTGTGACGAGACACTGGTCCTACAACAGAGAACTATGTCAGCGTCTCCCTACTCTGTCGCAGCTCTGTCAGTGGACAGTCTACCATGCTTCACTCCGTACTGCATTGCAATCATTAAGGAACTGGTTTCTAAAAGTTTTGACTTGTTCAAGTGAAATATGTGATTTCAATTTGACTCCAACCTGAAACTAGCCTTACCTGAAGACAAAGAATGAATCAAAGAGCTAAATGTTTGACTCACCAAAATTCTAAGACATAAATTTTCAATATACCTGTTGCAAAGTAATGTATGATTCCCATCAAAGCACAGTGAAATATTTCCTTTTAGTACATAAAAGTTTAGAAGTCCTCTTGATTGAAGATTTAACTCGATATAAAAATGTAAAATTTTGTACTATTTGCGGATTTTGTAAACTAGTCTATATTGCCAAAACCCGTTACACTGACCTTGGATTTGGCAGGCTCTTCAATTCCCGTGAGGAGCCAGTAAACATCGGGACTTCTACAGTTTACACCTGTACATTTGAACTTCATTATTAAAACTCCAAAAACTTTCAAATGTACTTTTAAAAAGTTATATGTATCAAAAGGAAATCTTATCGGCTATCCCATCGCAGCTTGAGGCTTCAAAAGTTTCATCCATCGTCAGAATACAATTACAACGAACGTTAATTCAATTCCCGAGACTTTTGCCAGCACATTCCGTTGACGATGGGATAGCCTCGGTATAGGATTATCTCCAGAGTAAATTGAAGGCAAAGATGAACCTACTTTGCGTTAGAAGAGTTTGCCGTTTTTAGAGGAGAGCCGAGCATCGACTTGAGAGGCGTGGTGGGCTGGGAGTGTGAATGGTTGCTGGTTCCGTTGGTGATGGGAGATATCGGACGTCGCATTCCGTTGCTGCAACCAACCACCGTGCTTGTGTTCTGGCTAGGCTTGGTCACCGTGCAAGTTCCGTTAGGTGGCGAAACTTTGCTGGCTGCACCTACCGAACATCTCAACTATTAAAATTACAGTGAATTTTGTAATTTGTACCTAATGAACTTTACCAATTGACAATATAATAAACTGTCAGTTTCATCACCTGGGTCTGAAGTGACTCTTTGAGCCAAAATCTCAAATTTATTGACAGAAGGTTGAAAAGACACTTTCAGCCTAATTGGTGTACTATTTTTTATAAGAAGTCTGATTTTTTTAAAATTAATTTATTGTACTGCACAACTGTGATACCTCTAGTGAGGTTAATCATTCAGCCAAGTGTTTGTTTATGCTATGCTTGCAGTTTACAATTGTTTGTGTTTACTTTGAGTAATGACTTTCCCTTAAGGCTTTTGGACAAAATCCAAGACACAATTTAATCGTCAACAGGTTAATTATAGAAATATAACCCTGAATGTTTTGAAGGCATACTCACTGTTTAGGGAGGGGTTAGGTGAGGTGAGCTCATACATGATTATGTACGTGTTGTTGCCACTGACGGAATGAGTGGACACAAGTCTGACCTGTAAACAGTTAACAATTAATTCAACAACCGAACAACCAATGTATGATACATTTGATACTACCCTTGCAGGAAAAACTGAAAATATGTGCAACTCGAAAATACAAAGCAATGTCAAGTTGAAGTGATATTACATTGAAATAGATAAAGTTCAAGCCAAGTCTGAAGTTATAATTAACATTAACGGTTCTGAAAAAGAGCCTAGTTTACTAGGATGTGAAGGTAGAAAAAAATATTTATGTTTTATAAATGTACATAATATGTTAGACATTATTTCCAGTTGTTAAAAAGGTTGAATGGCAACTAATTTTAATTTTTGAACCTAACATGACTATAATAATATTTTTGCCCCAATGGACAATGTCATGTATTTCAAGCCGGGAACCTACCAAACTGTCGTCAAACAGATAGAACTGTCCCGAGGAGGCGAGGCCGACAGCTGTGTAGTGTCCGCAGTTAGTAGATGGTCCGATGTGATTCACCAGTGACACGAGACGATAGTTGAGTCTGACGCCGGGCTGACTCTGTTGGTGCACCCAGAACCTGGTCAGGTCTAGGCTGGTCTGCAGCTGTATGTGCTTGCTGTTCTTGCCTCCGGTGATGCCAAACCTGTAAAACAAAACCACCATTAAAACTGTCTCCGTAATGAAACATTAACACAATAAAAGTCAGTCATCTAAAACCTCCACTCCATAGGATTTAAGTAAAAGTGGCAATCGGGAGCAAACTAACTTACAATAGAAGATAGCTAATCCCAAATGGATTAGCGGTACTGGATTATTGAAAATGTGGGATTAATGAACATGTAACGATTATTGTGAGAATAGCAAACATAATAGTGTCAAAAGAAATTGGTCGGTGGGTCTTTATTCCTTTTTTTTTTTTATTTCCTCTTATTTTAGAAATATAAAGATGGTAAAACAGAAAAACAATCAAACGTCTTCAATCTTTTTTCTTTGGTACCATACACACACTTGTCTTTGATCTACTCTCAGAATCTATTAACTCTACGACAAAAAAATCGATAGGCCTATTACACGATCTTTACAGTCCATTTCATTACAGTGCATTTATGAGCCTTCAGGATCTAACTTTCTCAGGATCTTTGATAATCTCCAATCCAAGGCATACCCTATACCAGCAAACCCAGTCCTCACCTTTTGAGCTGTATACAGAGGACATTAGGTGGTTTTTCAACAGTGAACTTCTTGGTCGCAGCAACTCGACGGTGGCATTTTTCACACTTGTACGCCTCGTCGCCGTCGCCAAGACGTTCACAAGTGAAATACGACTCTAACGCCTGGTCGAGAGTGGTGGCTTGCCGAATGTCCAGTAGCAAGTCTTGGAAATGCTGGAACGTCAGCGAGATGTTTCGGCACTCCAAACATCTCACTAGACAAACCGTAGCGAAATGTCACTTACTGTATTTTAACACGCTATTACAATCTGACCCAGTTCACTTATCAAATGTATAAGCGTAATGGAAACACAAATTGAATTAAGCTTAGCTAACAAAGGAAATACAATTGACTTGATAAAAGGGCACTTTTGGGACGGAAGGTTTTAGTTTGACTAGAAATGCTGGATTTCATTGAAAAAGCATTTGAAAATAAATAAAAAAAATAAATCCAAACCTATAAGCAAATTAAGTACCTAAATCCTTTGACTATTTGAAGTAAGACAAAATTGCAGTTCAAATTGATCAGTTTAGGTGTTGACAATAATGTTTATTGAACACAAAACACAATTCGGCCTTAATAACAACTGTCAAATGCATCTGTAGGCCTTTATTGGACGACTGAATAACGTTAAACTGCAAAACCTATAGTCTTAATTCCAATAGATTCACATTGCATAGGTTTCATTTCTAAATGACTTTGCACTCCGGTTCTTTGCACCTACGATACGCTAAACTCTATGTAGGCCTAGTTTCTTTGTTACAACACCGAAAAGCTAGATTTGGCTGAATGTGTCACATTGTCAAATGTCAACCCTAGGCCTATTTAAAATGTCCGTAGTTTAATTGACAGTTATATGACGGACAACAATGACTAGTTGATTTATACAATGCTTGTTAATTTATACAAACAACTAATAAACTAAACAAGCTATAAACAAATTGAATTAGAGGGCTCTTAATCCATGTTAACACAAATTCATATCTTACCTTCTGTTCTGAGGTAGCCTCCGAATATTTGACTCAGGGGAGTTGTCTCCTTGCTGTAGCTGTCAAGACTGAAAACACAATAACTTGATGAGTTTACTATTCACGGCTAATTTTCAAATAAAAACAATGCAAAATTTGTCTTCACTACTTTTACTTTATAACGTAGGGTAGTTAACTGGGTAAGTAGCATAGTAAAATAGAAATGTAGATATTTCAAATTTTGTGTTAGGATAAGTTTGAAGCCCTAGTGGCATAGTTAAAAAGCCATGCCCATAGTAATGTGCTAAACTGTTTCAGGCTAGTCCTAGGAAATGAGGGGGTTTTTAGATGGTAGTCCAGGGACATTGAGCCCGCAGGAGTCCGGTAGGGTACTTGAGAGGACAAAATTGTCAGGATCATTAAAGCATGACTAAAGCCAAAAGGTCTAGTTTTGAACTATTAAACAAAATTTAAAAAAAAACAAATCTTGAACATCACACCACCAAGATACCATAAAGGGTAGGTATACAATATATATACAGTACTTACTTGTTAGCCTGCATTATGCGAAGGTAGGAACGGTCCATGCTCTCAATGAGATACCTCATGAACTCGTGAGCATCTTCTTGATGACCATGCATAAGCCTCTTGCAAATCACTTGACAAGAACACAACACATCAGACATGCGATATATCACATCAGCTAACTTCCTAACTTCAACCCCTTATTTTTTAACGTGACCGGTCGCACTATATCTCTCAGATACCGTACATGTTTTCTTAAAATTGTGTTTGATTACTTTAGACATATATTTACCCCCTTAATTTTTAATTTACTTTATATAACAACTCTTTACACATAGATTTCACTCATATATTTTAACACAGTCAAAGCATTTACCAATTAGAAAAAAACAAATTGTCCAAACATACACATTCCTGTATAGTGTATCCATTAGATACAGTACGACCATGCCCGTCACAATGTAACATTGAATTCAACGTTTTCTTTGCTCAATTAATCAGTTTCATTTATTTTTATATTTAATGGAATTATCTAATTTTTGTATGATATAACAGAAATATAACAGAGACATATCACATAAAAACTAGACTGGTCCCGTTTTTATTTTGAGATAAACAAAAAAATAAAAATAGGACCAGTTGCACTGTATCTATCAGATACAACGGAGCAAAACAAGGCATGTGTGCACGGGACGACACTAACAGCGACACTGAGGAGTGTGGGGAGTGTTTTGTGGTGGGAATTTTTCATGTTGGGGTATCTAATAGATTAGGTGCGACCGACGGAGGGTTAAAAAGTACTGCATTCTTTGCCATAACATAAACTGCTGTTACTGTTACTTCTGGTTAGGTGGACCAGAAGTAACAGAATTCTGATGGAAGAGGCAGTCATATCATACAAACACATAAATATAGATTTGTAAGAAATATTTAAAGATTGTACATGTTTTAAGTTGATTCTTTTACACCTATACAGTAGATTACCACTTGTTAGGTCTGTTTGGTTCTCCAAAACAAGAGAGGATGGCATAACACTGTTTGTACTTTGGTAAGTTAACTTACTATTGAGTAAAAATGTGGAGTTCAGGCAATTAAACTCACTAAAGTCTTTACTACAGTTTGAAAACTTTGATTGGTAGGCCTAGGTTTACTACAACTCTTGACGACTTTATCATAAAACTGTTAAAACTTACTTGTAAAACTTACTGTTACTTTAACTACGGTACTTTTAAAGTTGGATAAAAAATAGCTATAGGGTAAGAAAGTTTAACCCTTTGTAGACACCCTGAACAATTTAAAAATAGTTAAAAATCAACCCAAGACAACAGATGTCTTAAAAAGAAAAAAAATCATAGCAAGTATAAAATAAGTGATACTTACATTTTAGTTTATTATAAACTAAATGTGGCCTGATGGAGTTTGAAGCACTGTTTTCCAAGGATGATTTCAGTGTTTTCAGCATCGCGCAAATTAAACAGTCAGTGTGTGTTAAGCCATCTGGAACAGGTGATTTTTTTTATAAAAATCCCATTTAAAAAAATATATTTAATAAATTATTCTGAGTTAATCAAACGTCTTGGAAGTAAATTAGCCTAACTAAGTGTAAAATCTTAGTTCTGTGAGATAAAATATATATATTACTGAGAGCAAGAATCTACCATGCGATTGGTATTGGTAGCCTAGATAGAGCCTAATTCATAACTGCAATTAAGTTTTAAGTTTAAGATTACGTAAGTATCTTGAATTATGACAAATGGCTGGTGAATGGAGTGATATGACTTGTGCTATGTTAGCCTACCTAGGCTACTATATTTTCAGCTCTATCTTTGGTAACGCCCATAAATTATAAAGAAACTAAATTCTCACTTTAAACACAGAAAACGTACTACTATAACCCAGAATGCCAACCGCATGGTAAACAGCATTAAGCGGTTTGAGAGAGCTTTGCCTGTCAATCCGTAGGCAGCGCCACCAGTGTTGCCATGCTTACCATGCGGTTGGCATTCTGGGTTATAGTAGTACGTTTTCTGTGCTTTAAAGCAATTAGGCTATACTGTTACTTTAAAAAATATGTCAAGGACATCTAACAGTATATGGAAGTAGATCTAGATTATATGACTTGTCTGATTGCATGTAACTGCATGTTTAAAAGACCAAATAAAATTCTCATTCTCATTCTCAATTCTCATTCTCATTCTCATTAACAATAAAATAAATCATCCAAATAAACTTGCCTAATACCTAGGTCTACGTCAATATAAGTTACTTACTCAGGGCTTCACATTTGTCTTTGTGGGCCTTATCATTTAGCAACCAGTTCACAAACGCTGGAACATGGAAGAGTGCCTAAAACACAAAATTATGCTTCATTTTAGATGGCAATCAGATAACATCGGACCTGCCAGCCAATCCAGTTATAAAATATGAGGTAATTGCCTATTTCAACAAATAGTACTAAAGGATGTTTTTGCAATCAAGTAGATCATGTGTGTGTAAGAATATCGCAAGTTCCGGCAGCCTATTTTATACTGCAACAATAAATCATTTTGATTCAGATTCAAGGCTAATTAGGTATAGCTTAATTAGATCCCAAGAGTATATTTTAATAAAAGGAAGATTTTATGAAAATCCCTACGGTATCTCCATGCACATCACATTTGAGTTATCGGGACAGAGCAGAAGGCTTGACCAGAAAACAATTAGGCCTAATCAAGCAGCTAAAAAAAGAACTCCATACTGAAGCATAGTGGACCATTTGTGGGATTAATTAAGAGTTTTCAGTGGAATGATAGCCTAGACTAATAAAAGGGAGGTTACTGTACCTATATAGATAAAAACAAAATTTACCTGAAGCGTAGAATTTAAATAACACGTGTTTCCTAAATTCTCCATTCCGGCACCAACAGGAACTGTCTTTGTTTGCCATCCTAGCTGAATCTTTTCCGGATCGAACAGCACTCTTTTAGGTGACGGTAAAACTGCCTTGTTGACTCCCGCTGGACTTGAAGGCTTAACTATACTACTCGAAGCTTTAGAAACTGACGATGATTGCAGAGGTTTAGAGTCACTCAGAGCTGGCTTAGGTAAACCGTTTTTCAACTTTACTTCACCATTTTCAGAGTTCACGTTGGGTTTTAAAACTACATATTTAGATTTCAAATCTTCTAGATTACTGTTAAAAGTGCTGGTTTGCTCATATTTTATTTCAGTCAGTAACACTCGCTTTGTCGATCCTATTAGCTTGGTATCCAAGGTATCACTGTCTGACGAGAGCTTGGAACTGGCAGCAAGTGAATGTGAGAGCGCTGCGCTGATAGGATCTCCTGTTGAGGCAGGCATGATTGCAGATAGTCACACCTGTAAATGTCAACAATTAACTTAGTAACATTTTGTTAAGTTAATGAAAAAGTTAGCCTACTTACACTAGCCGAGCTCAAGTGAGAAACCTTTTCCATGGCTATCTGTGGCTATTAGCCTACTTTAAAAAAAGTTCCCGATGCACATAGAAAAATGAATAGGTGAGTTTACTATAGACTGCTAGGGAATTGCTAAATAATTGGAGAAGGGAGTCTTTCAAAACTGAGTTAGGCTAAGTTAAGTCTTGAAAAGTTAAATAAAGTTACCAAGTTCAAACGGCATGGAATAAAAATTAGTAAGGCTAGGTAAGTAAGTTATTTTGGGGGAAAACTAACTTAACCTACGACAAAAGGCTTAACTTTTAAATTACGGTACCTATGTCCGTCAAGTGATCCTAGGTTGTATAAGTCAGTTGGTTGACTACAGCTGTTTTGTGTTTACAAACACATCTTTAGGTCAATGTTGCATTGATTTATTCCATGGAATGGTAGTGATGAGGTTAAAAGTTCACAAATAACACTTAGGCCTACACATAACATTAAACATTAATTGGCCAAAACACAAATAGGCCTAGGTCTACATAAGAAACGGTACATCGGACACGTGCAGCGTCGGTAGAAGGAACCATAAGTAGTCATGACCTAAGTACCTTCTACCGGCCCCGGACGTGTTTCTGATGTCTTGTTTTTTTTTATGTATTTGTGTTATTGGCCTTATAAATGTTTTAATGTTTCCTTAAGTGTTATTTGTGAACTTTAACCTCATGACGACCATTCCATGGTATAAATAACTTAATGCAACATTTGACCTGAAGATATGTTTATAAACAGCTGTAAGTTAGTCAACCAACAACAATCTAAGATCACTACAGGTAATTTAAGTTAAACCTTTTGTTGTAAAAATCAGTGATCCAGAGGCTACTTATACCATAAAAATAACCTACTTAACAAACCTGAGTTAAACTTATATCAAGATGCCAACCTGCGACATAAACACTTCTCTGTTTCAGTGTTTAAGTTAAAAACTAGCTTGAAGAGATTTTGTACTAAAGATAGATAGCCTAAGATTTAAATAGGCCTAGCCTATGAGAGTGGCCTACTTAACATGGGCCAGAGCCTTGACTATTTTTGACAGAATAAATAAATATTGGTTTCTTATTTGTATCCGGCCTATGAATTAGCCAAGCTAACACCTCCATCAATAAGATAATGTTTTAAACTACGGTTCAACTAAGTTATTGCCTATGCCTAAATCAAACCAGTGTTTACAAACTAACTTAAGTAAGTTTAAGTTACTAAGGCCTACCAAAGTTCAATACTAAGGCCTAATTGTCACTTCTTTGTTTTGTTTTTAAACTGCAATTTTGTAAACAAAAACATTTTTATGAGACAATCAAATGGGATTTGCATAAATAGTTATGTGTCTCACTTCAAACTTAATTAAACAGAACGCAACCTTGGAGTTATGGACAAAATTAGGACAGTTGCCATTTAGACCCTAATATTGGTCACATGGCTTGAAATTCTTAAATCCTTATAATTTTAACTTTGAAGACACACAATTAACACGAATATATTGTAAAATTAAAATAAATGTATTTATTGGGTATTTTGTAGAACAACTTTACGTCATAGATGGTGACTTGAAAATGATCTGCCTTTCTGGTTGCGGCAACAAGGAAACTGAATGCCGTGCCGAAGCCGACTCCAACGTTGCCACGAAACCAACTTATATCTACACTGAACACTCTTGTAATAAGCTAATATTACCTTGAAAACAGCAACACAACGCTGGATGAAGTTAAATAGAGAGAACATTTCACTTAACACACCATGATATTCAGTTATTCTACAGAAAACATCACCGGCGAAAAAGGAAAAGTGCGGGCGGACGTACTGTTCTGCAACTTACTAACGTAGTAGTACTACTAGTACTACTGTAGTCAGTGTTGCCAGATTTGCCGGCGAAAATTATCGTACAAGCAGGCCAAAATTATCGTTTTTGGGGCAAAATTATCGTACACACAATTTTCTTTTATAATAATATTATTATAATGTAAAACAAGCAAGTCGATGATGGAATGGCCGAAATTTTACTCTATTTGTCTCTGCCACCCACCGTTTTTGCTCTACTATGTCTACCACTGAGCTAGAAAAATGAAAAATATAAATTCTACCGGAGGCAGCACACTTATCACACACACACGTCACACGGAATCTGCATCTCTGCTAGAAAAAAATTGAAACGCTGTAAAATGATGGTATTTTCGTTCCGTTCTCAACTGGAAAAATCAACCAGCTCATTGCATTATTTCATTCCCCTACTGCCAATGTACTGACTGAGTTCAATAATTAATTGAAGGTACAACGTAATCTACCCCTAGTACAAATGGCGGCCAACTTCTCTCAAAATTCTCCTATAAACACTTAAGTTGGTAGCCAATGTGCCCTCTCTAACACAGCTGATGGCTTTGCAAGGTTGCCAGATCGAACAGCAACGAAGTGATGTTACTGTTTTTCCATATATTAAAAGTGGGAAACGTGTTTAAATGTATAATAATCAATATGAAATAGTTAATTTTCCAGCCCCCAAAAAATAATCGTACATTATGACAAAAAATCGTACACAACGTCAAAATTATCGTACAATTTTTCAAAATTATTTTTTATGGGGAAGGAGCAAAATAATCGTACAAATACGATAATTATCGTACACCTGGCAACACTGACTGTAGTAATTTAGTGGGGGAGAAAAAAGGAGAAATCGAACCGTCTGCCTTCCGTGTTTTCATTCTGCCTTTGGATTATTTATTTAGCTAGGTTACATTTGAAAGACTATATAAAAAGTTGCGTGAATGTATAAATCTACATCAAAGCCATTGCTTATATATATCTCAAGATGAAGTTTATATAACCTAACAAACGGACAGAACTAATTTTGCAACTGTCTTCCTCTGTCTGATCCATAAAGCCCTGTTTACACGAGGCTAGTAGCATGGCCACCTTTAACTCCAGGCCACGGCCAGGTAGAATTGTCAACGTTGCAAGTAGTGATGTTTAGAGCCTGTCGTCCCTTTAGCTAACATGGCAAACAGGTGACACCTACGGAGTTAAAGGTGGAGGTGCACCTGCTCATTTAATCACGTATTATTAATTTAAATTTAAATTTATGAACATAAGTTTATGAAAAGACTGAAACCAAAACATATTGTGTTCTAAGCCAAAACAATATATAAACATCTAGGGCATATGCTGAGCAGTGTGACTTTTCGTCTATTTTTATCAAAAGATTCTACTGAATGGGCCACCGGCCACCTTTTTATGCAAGAACCCGCCTCAGTGTTTCATTTCACCAGGCTCTGTTTTTCACAGCCGTTCCTGTATGGGGCTGTGAAACACAGAGGACGCTATTTTTGTTCAGACTCCAGAGGAAGGCGATCCGTATTGTGTTCTCCTTTCCAAAGCGTCACTCCTGCAAAAAAATATTCAGATAATTCAGTATCCTAACTTTTCCATCCATCATCCATCTATATTCTGGAAACGTCGTCATTCGCTAAGAAAAACATATATTCTTTCACCACTCCATACTCCAGTCAACCACAGATATTCTTTCCGGAACACTTCAAACCTTGCCATTCCCGTCATTCAACTTCATTTTTCCACAAGCATTTTCAAAGCTGTGAAGACAGGATGTGGGCAAGGCCACACTAAAAAAACTTTTTTTAGGGTGGCCTTGATGTGGGTAAATTTAGAAGTGAGCTATAGTCCATCCTGATAGATATATGGCTGTATAGCATCCGTGAAAACTGGTAGACTTTACTTGTAAACACTAGTTAAATTAACTTGTACCGGTAGTTAATGCTTGTAAATACTTTAGTTATTTTCACTGTAAGATAAACAAGATGTTTAATCAATTAAGTATTAATTTAACTTAGCTAATGAATGTATATGTTGATCTGGCCTAATACATTACTTATTTGCTTATTATATTGACTTTTCAGTTTAGGAACAAGAAATGAGTTGTTGACTTTTATTCTAGCTTTTGGCCATTTAATATTTTATACTGATTCAAAATACTGTTTAACTCTTTTAACAATACGAATTACGAACTGTATCTAGTTTCATATTTCTTTCATATTATCATCAGCAAAAAAGCAAATGTTTCCTGAATTTACAACTGATGGAAGACCATTTACAAAGACAAGCAATATCACCAGACCGAGGACTGACCCCTGAGGCACGCCAACGCATTGGAATTTGTTGTTTGAAATTGTTAATTTAGGTTCTCACTGGAAATAAAGGATATAGGCCTAGGTAGTGTTATATTGCCATACACCAAATGGTGCCCGTGATGCAATTATAATACTTGAATATTATTCATCAAATAGAGTGTTAATTTCGAAGTTTATGCACGTTTTGTATACAACCAAACGTATGGAAAGTAAAATGGATTACATGATTCAGGCAGTAAAATCTGAATAATTACGAATAAATATTTCACAAATAGCCAAATAATGTTACATCTTAGCAAAATCACATACCCTGAGCAATTTCAAAAAACGATTGAGATTATGGTAGGCCTATAAAATTGCTATTTATCACAAATTTAATAGGATCTCAAAACTGTGTTTGTACCACAGATTTGAATCTTATCAAAACATAAATAAATGTATTATATAGCTAACACTGTCCTGATTGACTTTCGAGTCACTCATAGTCCCAGTGATTACGAAATCAAAATTAAGATTCACTCGATGAGAAAACAGTCCATCAATGCCTAACGTTTACATAGAAAGGTTCAATATTCTATAAAACACGAAGGTAAAACATTCTATTTCAGTTTAACAACACACTGATTCCATGAACAACACTCTAAAGAGTTCAAAGGCGACGATTTTTCCGATAAATTAATTTCCCTGTGAGCTTTGACACCGGCCCCTAGCAACTTGGAACAACAAAGGACCTGGTGGTGGGGAAGGGTTGGGAGGGAAACCACGTTTCCCTGCGTTGGCAACACTGCTAGGACCGGCCAATCAAAACAAATCCATCACATGGCTTTGTAGAGACACTATTCAATTGCATGTTTATTAGTTTTCAAAAATGTGTTTGTAAATTTGGCTAGTTGAAAAAATATGTTGAAATCAGTAATCTCATAAAATAGAGAGTTGTTTAATTTACAAGCGTAGCCTAATTGTCAGTAACACATTCACGTTGGCTACATATTAATTATTAGTTTGATAAGATTTTTAATTTTTTTCATGGATATTTTAAAGAGCTGTTATTTTATCCACTCATTTATACTTAGGTGAAATCATTGACACTCGCAGGTTAAAAACCGTCAGAAGAAATGAAAACCCCGTAAATTTTATCAGGGGATAGGGAAGATATCACTCATTGCAAATAATTTTAATGTATAACATATAAAAACATATATTTTGGATGCATAAAGGCTGGAATTATCTCGTAAAGCATTGATAATTTAATTCAACGTTAAAAACTGCACAAAATATAATTTTATCCCCTCCAGTAAGAAATAAAATTATAGTTCATCACTCTGACAAACAGTTCCTTTGCAATCCTAGCTCATTTTCCCGTTGAACTTGAGGAACACCCAAGTAACGAAGGCTTCATACATGTATCGTTACCAGGCTAAAATAGTTCTTTTTAACCCTGGGCCTGGGGAAAAAATCGGTTGGAATTGAGGTCGTCAGGTGTACATATTTCTAAGACAGGAGAAAAAATAGTTCTGATAAAGAAATCGCGTCGTTATCACAATATATATGTGTTTATTTCATTGCATATTTTACTACGATTAACGTCTCTTGTAGCTATTACCTTTGACTATTAAGCTATTACGTATTGAGAAAACCCAGAAATTTCACACAAAAGTTCAGATTGTGAATTAGTTAACTTAAAGAATCGTGCAGTACGGGGAGAAGTATTGTTCATCACCCTAAAAATGTATTTTTAACCCTCATATATTTTCTTATCTTAAACTTGTGTTCGTATCGTAGTCACTTTCGATCCTAGTTTCGATGTTCTCCATTGTTTCCATTATGTTTGTATGTCATAATTTGTATCAATCGTTGTTTTATTTAATAACTTTTGTTTCTTGTTTTGACCACTTTACAGTTCTCTATGTGGATTTTCTTGTGTGATTTTCCAGCTTTGGCTAAATTCGGGTACTAATTTTGTCATGTGTCCCATGGGCGTCCAGCTAAATTTTCCCTAAAGGGGAATTGAGGGTACGGATTACGGAATAACCCACCGTAAAAAGTAGGATTCAGGGCCCTCCTCCGGAAAATATTTTAAATCAAGTACAAAATTGTTGATTTTACAAAGTTTAGAATTAAATCTGCTTTATATAATATGTAAGTTATTAATGTTTGTTTGCAAAATTTTTCTATTTGTTACAGTTTTTTAACGTAGGGTAAATTCCTTGCCCATATTGGTGGACGCCCATGCTCATACATAGTGTTTGCCAATTTCATATTTCGAAACGTCGTATGTTTTACATTACTAATCAGTCAAAGTGAATAATCCTTCAAACAAAAAAAAAGAAGAAGAAGCAATAAAACCCCAAGAGAATGAGCTATTTAAAAAAGTGCTCAAGTTTTCTTTTCGATTGTCAATGTTAAATAATAGGACTGTATCAATGGCAAAGTGGGTTTGTACAAAATTACCGGGTGGTTTGGGATTTTATGGGGAATTCCGGGAAATTTAGTGTTGTGGTAACACTGGTGCCGGGTGCAGTGAGTCAGATAGCCAGTCAGTGCTTGCCCGTGATCGAGTCATGTGAGGGGCTCAAGCCCTCCTCCCTCCTAGCCATGGGGAATGGCATGAACAAGGTAATGGCAATGATAGCACAGAGTAAATAAATAACCGATTACTCTTCTATGCAATTAAGCATTCTGATACTCTATGAACGAATGTCATGTAAATTGTTTGTAGTTTAATTTCAATCTTGTGAAATATATGAAATGCACCTTATTGAAGGTTGATTTTATTTAAATATAGTTGAATTTAGTGCTCTTAAAATATCAGAAAATAGTATTGATCAGAAAGACAGTAGAGTGATTGTTTAGACCTGGAAGGTTGTCATTTATTGTTAGAGTGTTATACATGGTAATTGGTAATACCAATATCATAAGGAAATTCAAATAAAAACAGTTTTTGGTAAAAAATAAAATATAACAACAATATTAATAATTATAAAACTGTTGAATAATACTTCTCCAAATGCACTGTAATCCCGCGCTAATGGGAAATCGTGTCTTAGCCAGTAATCAAGCAACAAAAGGCATATCATTTTATTTTACACTCACGTTTAGATAAAATATACACCGAGATGTGCATCACCAGCTACAATAGTAAAGATAACAATAAGCCTGAGACAAAGGTTAAAATTCGTATAGCGTGGCTGCCTGTCAAGTTGGCCGTTAAAAATAAATAAAATATTTCATACAGATTTTTTTCCATAAAACAGTCCAGTGAACAGTAACTAGGTTCGTTAAGACTTTTCAACCATATGTTCGTGTACTTTGTATTTGAAATAGTTTAAAATTTCCCTATGGTTATAGTTTTGATACCAATAAAAAAAAGTAAAGCAATTAAGAAATTTTAAGACTTTTTTTGTTACACTGAAAATACATGATATGCTAGTTTAGCTAAGGCTAGTTTAACTTAAGCACAAGAAAAATATGCCTTAAATTTGCTAAATGATCGAGAGGCCTTTCTGTCATAAAATCAATTAAACTGATAAACTCTTGGTTTATAGGCCTAAACATTTTCAGAAAATATTTTCCAACCAATTAGGGATTTTACGATTTCCTTAGTAGACAGGTTTAAATATTAATTACTAAGTGTACAAATAATTATATCGTGTTATGCCAGTTTCGAGAAATTGAATTGTTTTCTTAAAGGAATATTTACCAACACAATAGGCTATGTAGATTTAAAAAAAATATTGGTCAATTACTTAATTGTCATTGTCGTACACCAATTATTTATGTAATGTGACAATATATTCACATGATTTAGCAAAATGCAAACAATAAAAATGAATCAATAAATACATTAATAGATAGATATAAATTGTACAATACACACTATAAAATACATTGTATACTAAACAACAATAACAACACTAATAGTGCAGTTAGTTATAATAAATATAAAGGATAATACCAGAAAGTTGAAACACAAAAACTAAATTCATTAAGTTACATTTGAACACAAAATAAAGGAAAAGAATAGTCCTAGGGCTTCTTGAACAAGACACGATAATAAAGAACAGTGGATGAGTCGTCTCGCCTTATCTTTCAACTATATTTTTATAACACTTTGTATACACGTTATTTTATTACATAGCTTGCATATTAGATTTTAAATTATACATCAGAAAGTCATAAATCAGCAAGATTTATTGTACAATTTGAATTGTGTGTTTAAAAATAGCTTACATGAGAGTTTAAGTAAAATACACTTACATAATACTCACATTTAACTAATAAAATAACTATCCCCAAGTTTTTTATTTATCTATTATTTACCTGTTTGAGATGTTCCAAAACTCGCACACATGATATTAGCACTAAGTTGGGATCACGGACATGATCAAGTTTACTATAAAGAACACATATATTAAATTAAAGGCACACATAACATAATACCCCCGCCACAGCAAACCTGCAGACTAAGCGAATTTCAACTTGTCTGATTACATTTTTACTCAAATATTTCCATAAATAAGACATATTTATTCCCTACTAGCTGTACCCGCGGGCTTCGCCCCGTTTAGCTTCATAAGTATTCGCATGGCTCATTCACGTCCTGGTTGAAGTTCGTTCGCTACGCTCACTCACCTTTAGGTTGGAGCTCGTTCGCTGCGCTCACTTGCCTTCAGGTTAGCTCGTTCGCTACTCTAACTCGCCTCAAGGTTGAAGTTCGTTCGCTACGCTCACTCACCTTTTGGTTGGAAATTAGCTGTTGTCATAAATTTAAAAAAAAATTAATAGTGCTGCACCCTGTTGGTAATCCTTGTAACTTTTATGCTGTTGAACATCATAGAACAGAACCAACTTGTTTAATTGAGACAGCTGTTAAGATTCATTTCCTTTTAAATATGAAAAATCATAAGATTAACATGGGGAACTACAGAGCCACTGGGGCGGAGCCCGAAAGGGTCTTTGAGATAAGAATATGCTTTAATGTTAATCGGGAATGTGAGCTATCATCATGCCAAATTTCAGCCCAATCCGTCCAGTAGTTTATGCGTGATTGAGCAACAAACACACACACAAACATACACACAAACATACACACAAACTCACAAACTTTCAGATTTATAATATTAGTAAGATTTAAATAACATTAAACCTATTTAAATAACATTAAATTTAACAAGTGCTTAGGTTTGCTGATACGGGGAAGGTAAAAAGTGTTTTTTGACCATACGTGAATAGTATTGGATGAAATAAACAAATTTGCCAAATTTTATCAATATATATCCATAAACAAGTAAACTACAATTTTTATTTTCTCCATAAGAATTACATGGGAATTTTAAATTAAACTATTTTTGAATTTTCTCCGTGACCGTTAGGCATACAACAGCGCTTCAATATACTAAATGATTTCTTTTTTTAGCTCTACAAAATCGTTTCGAAATAAATTGCAAAATATTTTGTTTTTAGGGTAAAAAAATGGGAAAAACACATTTTTACCCCATAAAACCCCCCATAAACCCCTGTTCCCATGGTCCGATTATGCTGGATCGCGAACTCGTTCGAATAAACGTAGGTTTACACGTTTGTACCAAATTTCATCAAAATCGTATCATTTTTGCTCGAGTTATCGCGCTAACGGACACACACACACACACACACACACACACACACACACACACATATATATATATATATGAATTTGAACGGATGGTGTTTTTGGCCTCTAGGGACCTCAAAATGAAAAAAAATCGGTCCCGCGTCCAGGTCTTACCATGAGTACTACGGTAATAGCTTATTCCCTATATGGAAAATTCGCTAAAAGGCATAATAAATAGTTATACAGCTAGGAGAGCATTTCGTAGTTAATCATTAGCACAAAGAATGAAATAAATTTGAGAATATAATGTCATAGATAAGTCCCCCAACAATATCAATTAAGAGTCATGTCAAATGAATCAGTATCGTTGAAATTCAGACAGAATTTTATGGGAAAAGAACACACTTTTATTGAAAAACATGTTTTATCAAGTTTATACCACTGCTTCTTACCACACGTTACTTACATTTTACTAATAAAGTAAACTCAAGTGCAGCTATTGGCCAGTGTGAACATATCAATACATTTACAAGATTTATGATTTAATTATAAAACGCTATAATATATACATGCCATAATTTATTCCACACTCATTCTATTACGCGCTTCTAAACGGAGCGAGCGGACGAGAATACGGTCACAGACAATAGAGTAATAATACTATTGTCTATTACTCTATTGTGATATGGTTCATGACACCAACTGTAGAAAATGGTTACGCACCCGCCATTGATTATTGAAATAAAATTAAAACCACATTATTCATATGTATTGTACCGCTTGGATTATAAAATTATCTTTTTTGTTAGTAAATTTTGGTACTCTATATACAACGTGAACAAGTATAAATATATATATAGTACAAGTACTGTATAAATATATCGAATCGGGTCGGAGGTTGTATTTTATTGCATCCGAAGAAGCAATGTTAAGTGCTGCCCGTCGTTGATGTATTCTGTCGTGGACAATATTTAATATCTAACCCCTTCCTCCTTTCAACCCCTTTTAACCCTCTTCGAGGACCTTAAGGATGACATAAAGGTCACGGGGTCAGGTCACAACTGTTCACCAATAAATATCGGAAAATAATTCGGGATAATTTTTTTTTTGAAGACAATCTTTTAGACTTTTGTTGTGAATGTTGGCTGTGTAATTGAACTTAACCGAGAAATCGATTTATTTAAAATCTTTGTTTGGAATAAATTGTGCGTATCCATACGTCATTTTAATATGTTAAACATATTATTGTAGTAAACTTACATTACTTTTAGGTTACATCAAAATATCCATTGCTTATAACAATGATGAAATGAAACATTTACACTTTAGAGTATAATAGCATCGTGATAAAATAAATAAACTAAGTTTTACAAATATCGGGGTTTTTGTGTGTGGTAGTAAGTACGTTCGAGAAACGTAAAGAAAGAACAAACCAAATGTGAAAATTTTATGTTTTCTTATCGCTACCCTCAGTACAATATTATTAAATAGTCTCTACCCAAACCCAACCGTAATCTTATGAATTTCTGGAGCACTCCCTAAATATTAAACAAAAAAATACCTGTAGTAAAAACTGGGTACGTACATTATTCTTTTGGAAAATTTCTATTTATCTGGTAGAAAGTATTTTGCCTGACGTGAGAACAAAATGACAGACACAGTATTTTTATAATAGTAATATTATAAGGTGAAAAAATAATAACATTTACACAAACGGAAACCGTTACTCTCGAAAGCAATGGAAAAGACCATCAAGGGACCTAAATATTTTACCATCCTGCTCTGAAAAACAGGTGTAAAAAAATATGACAAAACATTTTAGTTCATTACATTTATAGGGATAAAAGTGCAAATGCCCAATATTCGAGTGCAAACAGATTAACGTTATTTGATCTTTTTGAACATTGTTCTTAATGACTACAATAAGCTGTGCAGTTAGACTTGATAATGAGAGGGTCAAAGTTGTTGAAAAGCTAATACATCTGTGGAAACTAACCGTTCTGATAACATTGGCGCTTTCATT